ACCGGATTTTAGGATACCCGATAACCAATAGTGAGAGTGAGTCCGTGCCACTCCGCACCTTGCTGGGGCCAATCAGAGGTTTCACGACCTCGGGTAGTGGCAGAAAGGGTGTGGTAATCATCTTTCCGCTTTCCCCGAGCCGTCAAAGTCCTCACAGCCATACGTCTTCCACGCACCCCTTATCACCCTAGAACTATAGTACCAATTGCAACAAAAGTACCAGGTACTAAATTTTGCAGCCCTTTACTGGAATTGAAGGCCTTCATCGGCCTCCGAGAAACTCCGGTTTGTAAAAACGGCCTCCACCAACGAAAAGTTGGGAGTTGACATGGAGCAAGAGCAAGAGTTATGTAGATAGATTCGGCTCCGCGGGTCCGAAGAGGCCTGACTCTAGTTACCTACACAATCGATACTGTAATCACATCGCGCACGATACCCTTCCACGAAAAAACGTGTTTTATTGTTTCTTAATATTTATTAAAATAATTTTTAATGGACACCGAGCAGAATCTCTGCCACACTGTATCCGCTGTCAATTAATGTAGTTTTGTCACTGACGAAAGATAATACGTGTTTATGGGGCTGTCGGTAATGACTTGTGTGAATGTCTTAAGATAATCGTTCGTTATTTTCTAGATCTTGAACGAAACCTACTTTGATTTCGACCATTTATTATTTCATCTTTGCATCTTTTCACCACTGTCAGGGCTGTATACATATGCTCTGTTCAAAAGATGAACGATGAACTATCTAGATGTTCTTGTTGTACCGATGATCGTCGATGGTTTATTATGAAATCTACATCAAACATTCTTCCGAAGAAATATTTTCAACTGAATTATTTTCAAAACTTCTTTTAAAGCCGTTTTTTGGTGAATTTCGAGAAACGTACGACTGTTTCTGTGGTTTTTAGTTTTTTACTTAAATTGATAGAACTGTGGTGTCCCGCTTTAAAAATTAAATTTGACGCCGAAAGAAAAACAAATAATGCCGCGGAACTGCATTTGACCCTAAACCAATGTAATTAATGTAAGATTCGTTTATTAACGATTCTGAAACGTTGTGAAACTGTTTAAGAGTGTGTTTTTGGTTTCATTATTTGTAAATTCACAGTTTACGTTAGACTTTTTATTCGTTCATGGTTCTATCGACAATAAATGTAAATATAAATGTTCCCTGTGATTGATGGCCTGGCGATATTTCACACGTCTAATCGGAAAATCATCGAGCGAAAGACTCTCCGAGTGGTTGGTGTCGAAAACAGTTTATTGTAACTGATGACGTCATGGATATTTTGAATTATATGTGTGTTTGGGTGATTTTCAGAAATAAATTTCATATCTATTTATTACCTTTAATTTTTATTTACAACGTAGAAGTTCTCAACGTATTCAAAAATCAATAAACAAAAGCATTATACAAATATTTATAATTTTTTTAAGGTGATGTTAAATTCCTGTACGAGATGAATAAATGTTGTGTAATCATTAAAATCAGTGTTCTTGTTTTGGTTAAAAAAAACCTAGGGAGTTTATTAGGTTAAAATTTTTTTATTTTTCTATTCTAAAATCGAAATTAACTCGGGACCAAAGTTATTTTTTTCGAATAATCTCCTCGAGCTCTGCGTAACAGAATTATTTCAGCATTTTTAGGCAACTTTTCAAAAAGCTCCATTTTTCAATAGCCCTGGTATGCATTTTTTGATCATTTTATTAAAAATTTCATTTTCAATCCGAATTTTTCGAAAATCTTGTTGGAGGAGCATTAACAATTTATATTTTTTGAATCAGCTCGTGGAGATATATACCAAAGAATTCTTCGAAGCAATTAAAAAAATCTCAGTTTTTAAATATCCTGATTTTTTGGCTGTTTCTCGAAAGTTCGAGATGTTTAAAAACAATCATTTTCAAATCAAAGTTTTCGAAAATCTTGATCCAAAGAATTTTTCCGTATGTGAATTTCATTTTAAAACTGAAATTTTCGAAAAAGTTGTTCGAGGAGTATTGACAATTTATATTTTTCACATTAGTTCGTCGAGATTTATATGGAAGATTTTTTTGAAAATTTTTGGGCACTATTTAAAAAGTCTCAATTTTTCAGTATCTTGAACTTTTGACCCTTTCTCGAAATTTCAAGATAGTTAAAAAAAATCGTTTTCAAATTGACGTTTTCGAAAATCTTGGTCCAGGATCATTGACACTTTTATATTTTTCGAATCAGTTTGTTGAAACTTTAATCCTCGGTTTTTTTGAGGACTTTTAGACAAGTCTACAAAAATCTAAATTTTTCAATACACTATCTTTTTTTGACCTTTCGGGATATCTAAAAAAAATATAATTTTCAAACCGAATTCTTCGAAAAACTTGTTCGGAGCAGCATTAAGAATTTGTTTTTCGAATCAGCCCATCAAGATTTATATCAAAGAATTTTTCGCGGATTTTTAAGCAATATTTCAAGAATCTCAGTTTTTCAAGATCATAAATTTTTTACCGTGTCTCGAAATTTCCAATTCCATTTTCAAATCGAAGATTTCGAGAACTTTGGTTGTCGAGAGCTTGATCTCCGAATTTTTTGCGGACTTTTAGACAACTTTTCAAAAATCTCAATTTTTCATTATACCTAGCCTCCATGTGAAAATTTTTTAGAGCTTTCGAAATTTCTAAAAGTTTTCAAACCGAATTTTTCGAAAAACTTGTTCAGGTAGCATTAACAATTTTTGTTTTTGGAACCAGCTCATCGAGATTTATATCAAAGATTTTTTTTACCGTTTTTCGAAATTTCGAGATATTTAAAAAATCTCATTTTCAAACCGAATTTTCCGAGAAACTTTTTCGGAGCAACGTTAACAATTTGTTTTTCGAATTAGCCCATCAAGATTTACACCAAATCATTTTTTGAGGATTTTTAAGCAATTTTTCAAGAATCTCAGTTTTTTAACTGCCTGAATTTTTTTATCCGTTCTCGAAATTTTGAGACATTGAACAAAATTTCGTTTCGAAATCGAACTTTTCGAAAATTTTGGTCCAAAATCCTTGAAAATGTATGTTTTCGAATCAGCTAGTTGCGAGTTTTATCTCCGATTTTTTTGAGAATTTTTCAGAAATCTCAATTTTTAAATTTCCTTAATTTTTTGACAGTTTCTAGGAATTTCGAGGTATTTAAAAAATTCACTTCCAAATCGAAGTTTTCGAAAATCTTGGTCTGAAACCTTTGACATGTTATGTTTTTTGAATTAGTTTGTGAAGACCTGTATCTCTGATTTTTTTGAGAATTTTTACACAAGTTTAAAAAAAAATCTATTTTTCGTTATAGTATGAATGTTTTCGAATCAGCCCGTCCAAATCTACAAAATCCCAGAATTTTTTAAGGATTTTTAGGCAATTTTTCAATATTGCTCCCATATGAATATTTTTTAGTTTTCGAAATATCTAAAAATTGAGTTTTCTAACCGACTTTTTCGACAAACTTATTCAGAGAGCGTTAACAATTTATGTTTTTCGAATCAGCTTGTTGAGACCTTAACCTTAGAATATTTTGAGAATTTTTTAACAATTTTTCAAAAATCGCAAACTTTCAATACATCTAATGAATGTTTTCTCTAAATTTCCAGATATCTGAAAAAATGTCACTTTAAAACCATTCGTGGAGTAATAATAAATTTATGTTTTTCGAATCAACTCGTCGAGATTTATATCAAAGAATTTTTTGAGGATTTTTAAGCAATTAATTTTTTTATCGTTTCTAGAAATTTCAAGATATAAAAAAAAATCATTTTCAAATCGAAGTTTTCGAAAATTTTAGTCAAGGATCCGACACATTATGTTTTTCACATCAGCTCGTCAAAATCTTTATCCCTGAATTTTTTAAGAGTTATTAGACAATTTTTCAAAAAGCTCAATTTTTCAGTATTGCCTAATATTTTTTGATAACAATTGTATTACATTTATGTGTTATTTTTCAGCCTTAATTTTTCTCACAGCCCGAATTTGAACATTTATTTTCGAAGTGTGCAGTCCTAAAGCGAAGTGTTTACTTTACTGATAATAATATGTCCTGTAAAGGATGTGATCAGGATACAACATATTTTACCCTGCGAGCATGATATGTGTTGAAGCTCTTGAATCCCGTAACATAACAATGCCGAAAATTAGAAGAGCTCGATCGCCTTGATCAGAGACATTACTCAATAACCATGAGCTTTGGTTTTGTTCGTATTTAAATTATTTTTGTAACATATGATTTGAATAAGTTCCTTCAGAGTTATTTCAGAGAAGGAAGAATAAAACGATTTGCGCTCCATATTTTGAATTTTGATTTATGGTCATTTTGGCACCTTGGGGTTCACCAATTTTCAATTGAACGCATTTTGCCATCAAAATAGTGTTAAAGGTGCAGATTTTGGAGTACAAATGTTTGCGAAATCTAGAATTATTATAATTTAAGTGCGTATTTAGACTTTCCACAACTTTATTGACGCGGATTTTTAATATAAGCAGCGAACATAAAAACAATGTTGCACATGCAAGTTCCTCGGGTCAGCCGGTCAGAATTCTTCCTTTAACGTTTACGGTTTTCTCGTTCATAACTGGATTTGCAGTTTTCGCTGCAAGCAATTTGAATAGTTGCTAGTGTCCACTAGCTAGTTTGTAAGCATTCTTGTCCCATTTAATCCCATATCTCGTATTTACAAGGGATGTTTTAAACCCTATGGTCCTAAAATCCAAAGTCCGACCCAGTGTTAATTAGTACGCATGGTTCGATTTGCGCTGCGTGACTGAAAAGGCGTACAGAAAACTACCGAAATGTTGAGACATGAATCATTGTGTTTAAGAGGTAGACATGAATAGTAATTATTTGAAAATTCTTGAACGAATGGTTTCCACAATGGGGGCAAACACAATCAACGACCCATTCTTGAAGCAAATTTTTTTCCACATAAATATGTATATTTTTCCGAAAACTCTCTACAACATATATCGTACAAGCAAAGATGGATTTACCTTTTACGATGAAGATTTTTCTGCGTTACTCCCATTTCTAAAATGGGACTGAATAACGGTATCGAAACGTCGAAATTCACCCTAAACGAATATCTGTCGAAATCGGCTCCGGCAATCAGGGCCTTGCCAGTATCTAACTCTATTACAGACGGAAAGTCGGGGGCGCTGCCGGATATCATGTTGAAAATGAGATGATTTTCTCCGTAATTCCAACTGAAACAAAAAGACATACTTTATTTGGCGTCTATGCTTTAAAATGTGTGCATTAAGTCCTTGAAAATAAATCCACTATGATAGATGGTGGTGTCGACTGAGACAAAACATCGATCATTCCGGAAAATGATATTCAAGTCTGCAGTGCTGACGTCAATTGAATAAAAACAACGGTTAAAGTGTTATTGTTTAATGCAACAAACCGCAATATTTTTACTGTTTCAGCATGCAAAGGATTGGTGAAACTATGGATTCAAGGTTAAAAGTCGTATCTGCAACAGTAAAATATTTTACAATAGCATAATTGAGTAAAGTTACTAAGTAAGAATTTGTTTTCGCAGTAATCTTGATTTTAAATTTCTGTCGATAAGGTTTGGGGTTTGAGGTTTGGTGAATTTCTGACCACATTTTTATAATTGTGTTTTCACATGCAAAACCTTGTACTATTATATAGTTGGAAGTTACTATACGGCGATAAGGTGTGGTGAAAATTCCGGTACGAAATATCTTATCAGAAAAACCGACGTACAAAAAATATCAATAAAATTACCACACCGTTTTGCTGTGGCCCCAAATTTGGTTACTACATAAAATCCAATTAAGGAATAATAAGTGAAATTATCAGGACTAAAGCCACAGTTCCTCGTATGCAAAAAATGCCAGCTATAATAAATTTACAATCGCGACAAGTTTATTTAACGACAATTTAATGCTTTGGTCAATGTTTGTTAGTGGAGACGCTAGACTTTATAGTTGGCGATAAAAAGTTTTCATTGTGAACACAGTTTATTTTATTTGTGGTATAGTAAGTGATCACAAAAATATACAAGCTCGATTTAAAATTTATTGAATAACATTCCGAGAATTTATAAGCAGGAAAGAATGCACATATGATTATGTATACATTTGTATTTTTATTTTTAGTTATAAGGTGGTATTTCCTGAACCGATATTATTACGATAAATATTGCAAATTTCTTTGCCAAGCAGTAAAATTTATTTGTGTACTGTAGCCTAAAGTTAACGCACCTTCCCAGTAGTTTTGAATATTGAATAATCAGCAAAATATGGGGTGATTTTTTAAATTTCTGCTCTAGTTGGACATGACACATAATGAAACAAAAAGTGACATTCATTAAATTTTTGTAACCTCAAGTAATTCTCAAAAATGAAAATACGTATATTATCAAAGTACAAACAACCTGTCAGGCTACATTTTGTTATCATTTTTTGAGATGATGTCATTTCTGGAGACATAAATAAATAAATTATAATTGTTTTGTAATCATTAAATCAATGTTAGTTCTAAGACAAATTGCAAAATTACACTCTACAAACATTATTTTACTATAATAATCCGTATAAATACGTCAAGAATATTATTAAACCACATGGAAAGCACCCGGTCATTAAATTAATTACAAGCTCTTCTTCGAAATCCTGCGCAATCAAACAATTCGACCAGTACTCATGTCTGGCACAGATTCCATTTAATTAGTCTGTCTGACATACTTAAATTAAAGCCTAAATATTGGAGCAATGAAAACATGAAAAAACGCTTCTGAATATTATACTCTTTTTTAACATTGCATTAAAAAAATTACTTCAAACTTGACGGAAGTATTTTAATTGTGGAAAAGAAGGGGACTGGTAATTATTTTTTCAATAAAACTTAAAAAAAAAAATAAAATTTATACAGCACGAAGTGAATTCGTGAGGACTATTACACGAGAAAACCAAACTGGCGCTCCCTCGTAAATGACCTAGTTTAGGCATAATTGTTGCAACTTGTATAAACGGGTTTCTTTAACTTCTGCTAAAAAGTAAAACTAGTTCCATTGTCCTGCGAGCAGAACTGAAGTAAAATAATGCAACGAAATGAATATGCGTTGACTGTGGGTGTTTTTTTTCAACAAAATGTTATAAAATTTGATTTACGTTTTATGGCGCCAAAGTTGAATGAAAAAACTTGATTAAATAGGTACTTTTGAAAAACAAAATAATGAAAATGCACTTCGTTTTCTATCGTTTGTAAAGGGGTGCCCACATAATTCAATTTTTCGAACTTTTAATGTATTCTACAGAATGACTAAACAAACGTCAAAGGAATTTTATTTTGGCAAATATCCCAGTTTTCTTATACTAAATATGTACCTAAAAACCGTTTCATTTAATATATTTTCCCAATATGCACGGATTTGTTGACACATAAATAAGATAAAGTTTTTTGTAGTTTAATTTACCTTGAAGGATGGTAAACATCCGATAAGTTTTGATGAATATGGTATATACAAATAATACTTTCTTAGAAAATCACGTTTATGTTGCTCAAATCCACACGTGTTTTTTAGATACAGAGTTCATATTATTATCATTATAGTTCGGCACATTTGCTTGGTGTGTATTTGTTATTATTTTTAATTTTTTATGTTGTTTTTGTATTTATTTTGAAAATGAAACTTCGTTAAAATCAGAAAATCGAAAAATCGGAAAAACAGAAAAAGCTACACAGGAAAGTAGAAAATTCAAAAATCAAAAATCGAAAATTCAAGAAATCGAAAATAGAAAAATTTTAATTTCGAAAAACTGAGAAATCAAAAAATCAAAAAACCCAAAATTCAAGAAATCTAAAAGTAAAAAATACCTCTAAAAATTAGGGGTTGGAAAAATTAAAAAATCGAAAATTCGAAAAATTGAAAACTCGAGAAAACGAAAACTTGAAAAATTGAAGTCTAAAAACAGAAACATACTGAAAATCGAAAAATCAAAAAAAGAAAAATTTAAATTCTACGTATCAAATATTCCAAAAATTGAAAAACTGAAAGTTCGATTGTAATGTAATTTTATTAACGGTTAATACACCTTTACATAAATTTATATGTACCTAAAGCATACAGATATTAAAAAGATTCGTCAAATATTCGAAAAATCGAAAATTCGAAAAGTCCAAAACTCGAAAAACTGAAAACTTGAAAAGTAGAAAAACTGAAAATTCTATAAATTGAAACATGGAAAAATCGAAAAATGAAAATCAAAAATTAAAAATAGAAAAATATAAATTGTATCAATCAAATATTCGAAAAATCAAAAAGCTGAAAAATCTAAAATTAATGAATTCGAAAATTCGAAAACTTGAAAGGTAAAAAAAAATGAAAGGTCTAAAAATTGAAGCATGGAAAAATCGCAGAATTGAAGATCGATGAATCAAATATTTGAAAAATCGAAAGTCGAAAATTCGAAAACTCGAGATATCGAAAAATTGAAAATTAAAAAAACAGAAAAATCTAAAAATTGAAGCGTGAAAAAATCGAAGAATCGAAAATCGGAAAATTAAAAGTAGAAATATCTAAATTCTATGAATCAAATATTCGAAAAATCGAAGCTTCAGTGTCGAAAAATGAAAAAATTGTAAAATTGAAAATTCAATCAGTTGAAAATTCAAAATCTCGAAAAATCGAAAGTCAAAAAACCGAAAATTCGAAAAATCGAAAACTTGAAAAGTAGAAAAATTGAAAATTCCAAGAACTGAAACATGGAAAAATCGAAGAAATGAAAATCAAAAATCAAAAATAGAAAAATATAAACTCTATGAATCAAATATTCAAAAAATCAAAACTTCAGAGTCGAAAAATCGAAAAATTGAAAAATCGAAAATTGAAACAGTTGAAAAATCGAAAATCCAAAAATCGATGAATCAAATATTTGAAAAATCGAAAATCGAAAATTCGTAAATCAATTAAACTGAAAAAATCGAAAATTCGGAAAATCGACAACTCGAGAAATCGAAAACTTGAAAATTAAATAAATGGAAAAGCTAAAAATTGAAGCATGAAAAAATCGAAGAATCGAAAATTGAAAAATCAAAAGTAGAAATATCTAAATTCTATGAATATTCGAAAAATCGAAGCTTCGGAGTCGAAAAATCAAAAAATTGGAAAGTCGAAAATTCAATCAGTTGAAAATTCAAAATCTCGAAAAACTGAAAAATCGAAAATTCGAAAAATCCAAAACTCGAAAAGTACAAAAATTGAAAATTCTAAGAATTGAAACATAAAAAAATTGAAGAAATGAAAATCAAAAATCAAAACTAGAAAAATATAAACTCGATAAATCAAATATTCAAAAAGTCAAAACTTCAGAGTCGAAAAATCGGAAAATTGAGAAATCGAAAATTGAAACAGTTGAAAAATGGAAAACCCGTAATCGATTAAACTGAAAAAATTGAAAATTTGGAAAATCGAAAACTCGAGAAATCGAAAACTTGAAAATTAAAAAAATGGAAAAGCTAAAAAGTGAAGCATGAAAAAATCGAAGAATCGAAAATCGAAAAATCAAAAGTAGAAATATCTAAATTCTATGAATCTTCCAAAAATTGAAGCTTCGGAGTCGAAAAATTGGAAATTCGAAAATTCAATCTGTTGAAAATTCAAAATCTCGAAAAATCAAAAAATGGAAAATTAGATTAGCCAAATATTCGAAAAATCGAAAGTCAAAAAACTTAAAAATCGAAAACTTGAAAAGTAGAAAAATTGAAAATTCTAAGAACTAAAACATGAAAAAATCGAAGAAATTAAAATGAAAAATATAAATACTATGATTCAAATATTTGAAAAATCAAAACTTGGGAGTCGAAAAATCGAAAATTGAAACAGTTGAAAACTCGAAAATCCGAAAATCGATGAATCAAATACCTATTTGAAAAATCGAAAATCGAAAACTTGAAAATTAAAAAAAAATGCAAAAGTCTAAAAATTGAAGCAAGAAAAAATGGAATAATCAAAAATCGAAAAATCAAAAATAGAAATATCTAAATTCTATGAATCAAATATTCGAAAATCGAAAATTCGAAAAATTGAAAACTCGAGAACACGAAAATCTGAAAAGTAAAAAAATTTAAAAGTCCTAAAACTGAAACAAGGAAAAATCGAATAATTGAAAATCGAAAAATTAGAAATAGAAAAATCTAAATTCTATGAAGCAAATATTCCAAAAATCGAAACATCGGTGTCGAAAAATGGAAAAATTGAAAAATCGAAGATTCGAAATTTCGAAAACTCGAGAAATCGAAAACTTTAAACTAAAAAAATTGAAAATTTTAATAACCGAAACAATGGAAAAATCGAAGAATTGAAAATCAAAAATCAAAAATAGGAATATTTAATTTCCGTGAATCAAATATTCGAAAAATCGCACAATCAAAAATTCGATGAATCAAACATTCCAAAAATTCAACCTTCGAAGTCGAAAAATCGAAAAATTGATAAATCCAAAAATTTAAAAATCGAAAATTCAGAGTCAAAAATTCGAAATCTCGTAAAATTGAAAAATGAAAAATTCGATTAGCCAAATATTCGAAACATCGAAAATCGAAAGACAAAAAACCGAAAATTCGAAAACTTGAAAAGTAGAAAAATTGAAAATTCTAAAAATTGAAACATCGAAAAATAGAAAAATGAAAATCAAAAATTAAAAATAGAAAAATATAAATTCTATCAATCAAATATTCGAAAAATCAAAACTTCGGAGTCGAAAAATCGAAAAATTGAAAAATCTAAAATTAATGAATCAAATACATATTCGAAAAATCGAAAAATCGAAAACTCGAGAAATCAAAAACGTGAAAAGTAAAAAAATTGAAAAGTCGAAAAATTGAAGCCAGGAAAAATGGAAGAATCGAAAATCGAAAAATCAAAAATAGAAACAATTAAAATCTATGAATCAAATATTAGAAAAATCGAAAAATTGGAAAATCGAAATTCGGTTAATCAAATAATGTATTTAAAAATTCGAAACTTGAAAGTAAAAAAAATCGAAAATTCGATGAATCAAATACTTATTTGAAAAATCGAAAATCGAAAATTCGAAAAATTGAAAACTCGAGAACACGAAAATCTGAAAAGCAAAAAAATTTAAAAGTCGTAAAACTGAAACAAGGAAAAATCGAATAGTTGAAAATATTAAAATTAGAAATAGAAAAATCTAAATTATATGAAGCAAATATTCCAAAAATCGAAACTTCGGTGTCGAAAAATGGAAAAATTGAAAAATCGAAGATTCGAAATTTCGAAATTTCGAAAACTCGAGAAATCGAAAACTTTAAACAAAAAAAATTGAAAATTTTAATAACTGAAACATGGAAAAATCGAAGAATTGAAAATCAAAAATTAAAAATAGGAATATTCAATTTCGATGAATCAAATATTCGAAAAATCATACAATCAAAAATTCGATGAATCAAAGATTCCAAAAATTGAACCTTCGAAAGCGAAAAATTGAAAAATCCAATAATTTAAAAATCGAAAATTCAAACAGTCAAAAATTCGAAACATCGAAAATCGAAAGTCAAAAAACCGAAAATTCGAAAACTTGAAAAGTAGAAAAATTGAAAATTCTAAAAATTGAAACACGGAAAAATAGGAAAATCAAAATCAAAAATTAAAAATAGAAAAATATAAATTCTATTAATCAAATATTCGAAAAATCAAAACTTCAGAGTAGAAAAATAAAAAAACTGAAAAATCTAAAATTAATGAATCAAATATTCGAAAAATCGAAAATTCGAAAACTCGAGAAATCGAAAACTTGAAAAGTCGAAAAATTAAAGATGGAAAAAGGAAGAATCGAAAATCGAAAAATCAAAAATAGAAATATCTAAAAACTATGAATCAAATATTCGAAAAATCGAAAAATTGCAAAATCGAAAATTCGATTAATCGAATATGTATTCAAAAAATCGAAAATTGAAAATAAAAAAATCTGAAATTCTAAAAATCGAAAATCCGACGAATCCAATATTCGAAAAATTGATAAGTCGAAAAATCGGAAAATTCGGAAAATCAAATATTTGAAAAATCGAAAAATTAAAAAATTCGAAAGATCGAAAAGCGAAACCTAAAAATCCTTTCTACAAAATTTTAAAGTGTTTGCATCACGTTTCAGCATTCATTTTTCAGTAAAATTCTGTGATGCAGTCATCAATTTTTTTGGTAGGTAAACGGATAAATTTTGAATACGGATTCACCTTATGACAACCGTAACAACATATTTGCAAGATTTTAGAGCATTCGGTTTTGCAATTTCAAAGTTAAAAGTGTTGTCATACAATTAATTTTTATTTTTTTCCACAGATCTGTATGCCTAGTATAATATCAATATCTCAACACGGATTCATAAATTACACATCTCGGAGCATTCGGTTTTGCAGTTTTTTTTTTTTTGCAAAGTGGACGCTTAATTACGTACTTTACTAGACAATAAAAATTATAATAGTAAACAAAAACAAGGTAGATTCATAATCCACAAGTACATTATTTTATAAAATTTAAATATTCTCGACTTCGACAAGACGATTAGCGGATGTATGTATATAACCACGTGTATAAATATTTAGATATTTATAGCAAGTTTTGCACAAAATTCAGAATGTTTTGATCAAAATCTACTGAAGTTAGCTATTCAACGATTTATTTATGATAAAAGGAAGTATAATCCTTTTTATAATTCCAGCATTAGGTTTGATATTTTACTATTTCCTGCGCCTTAAGATCACTATCTCAGTTTCCGTTTTAAAATTATTAACTGTAAGTACATTGTAGCCAACACTCGTACACAATACGTGATTTATGTGACTTTTTGCTTTATTTTCTCTACTAAAGCATTAACACTAAAACGTTTTCTGTTTTACAATTCCAATTTAAAAAATAACTGGTTATTATTTACTCATTATTTCCCTTGAAATACAAAAAAAAAAACATAATAATTATGTGAAGATACGTTATTAATAGTTCCTGAATGGGAAAAGCATAGGTGAGACCTTGGAATGCGTCGTACTCCACTGCAGTTGCATCATATTTGTGCGTTGTATTTGCTCACTGTATAACTAAATCAACAAATGCAGATAAATAAATGTGTAAATATGAATACAATTAATAAAATGTGACCGCTCAGCGTAGATTCGGTTAGGTATTCAATCTTCATTTTAAAAATAGTTGCATTTTAAAATTTAACCATCGACCTAATTACCTAATTAAACTGTTTGTTCCCGATAACTACAACAAATAAATTTATCAAAACGCAAAAGCGTCGACTGGTAATCGATTATTTTATTTTATTTTTTATTAGTTCGTTGTCATATTTTAACTCATTTCAAATTTTTAAAGTACCAGGAAAATTATTAGGTCGAGACACCTAATAACTTTACCTACAATTATGTTTTTATTCTTGATATTTTTTTTAATGGTTAAGTAGTGCACAAGCAACAGAAATATTTTTCAAATTATGTGCACACATATTCGGTACATTTACATGGTTTTTTTGCTGTCGAGATAAATAATCCTATCGGAATCATACACCATAAACTATGGTGCTTATCACATGGAGTAACATGAGCACGACGGATTACAATACACATAAAAACTGTGCAAACTCATAATAAATTTAAATTTCCGTCCACATATGCATGACAGTCACCACAGGATTATCTTTGCTTCTATAATTGAGAAAAACCATTCACGTCCGCTTAATTTCATTTCAGAGTAAAACTACGCCAACCATCGTTAATACTTATCCCGACATCCTTCAAAGAACAGTTTAAAAATAGCACAATGCAAAAAATTGATCTTGTTTACAGATTTACACAAAGAACAGACCTGAACAAACGTACGAAAGCTATAATTATCACATGAAACGACAACGTTTCTTAATGTGTGAATAAATATTTATTCAGATTTTGTAATGAATAAAAAATGACTTAATGCTCTCATAAATCAGTGCAAGACGTTGCTAAACCGTTGTGCAGCAGTTTTGGCGATAAAAACTTCAACAATGTCAATAAATTTAATTGCCTACAAAATTAGTTCAATTAAAAGATTGATGGGCTCTAATTTATCAGCTTGACAGGGTCAATGATTTCACAACACTGCATACACTGTAATTAAAAGGGAAACAAGGTTACTGTCTCCCACTAAATTAGTAATGATAAAATTACACTGGAATTACTATTTACAAATAAATAATGTTGTTTGTCTGTTGTGATGAAAGCCTATCATAAAATAACAAATTCTACTCACAAAGGCAAGCTGTGTAGAGCTCTTGAAGTGAGATTTGGCCTGAGTCTTTCCTGATTTAAAGTGTCAATAGATGGAATGAAAATGCATGCTTCGTGAGGATTCGCAGTGTAGTATTTGGAATTGACCACAGCCTGTAGCAGCGTTAAATATTCTTTAGACATGAGTTCAGTCGCAGAAAATCCCTCCTCATCCACATATTTCCGTGGAGGATACACGTACACGGCAATTCTGTCATGACCCGTGCGTCCACACCTGTAGATGTTGAAGCAGTCCCAATGGGTACATTCTGGATTTCTGGGCAACAATGCAATATTAGTCCTTAATCTAAATTCAGGCAAGCTTCGAATGTGTGTGAGCGAGATTTTCTTGAAATTCGAGGATTCGTCACGAATGCTGATACGTAGTCTTGAAAGAACAGTGAATGTGGTCACGATTAAAATCAGAAACACACCGAAAAAGAAATTTTTGTATAAAGACGTTTTGTGGGTGTAATTGTACACTTTTGATATTGTGATTTTTGTGGGTATAGTCATTTTAGAGTGGAGGTTAACACTTGAGTTTGATGCGGCCCCTCGTCAAATACATGGCACAATTTGTTTGGATAGGGTTTCTGATACACTCGCGTTATTTTAAGTCATGTTTGGCGTAAGTTTGACATTTCAACAATAAACATTTCTTTGGAGGTTAGAAGGATTGATTGCCAGTGCGCCACTCTAGCACGATTGTGGCTAAATTTCCCCAATCAAAAGTAGAAGAGGGGGACGAGAAAGTAAAACACGTCACTGAAACAGAGAACACTGCCGCGGCAAAAAGAGCAAGAAAGATAGCGATATATCACGTGCAACAAATTTGGTAACACTAATATAGTAACTAGCAATTTATCTCTGCAACCAATATAACTAGTTGCAAAAGCTAGAATTATCTATAATGATGGTGTATGATTGGTTGCATACGGAAAATGTTATGTATTTTTCACCGTAGAAATTAAATTGTCTAAACCCTTAATCTATAATTATAAATTACAAACTCAGTTAAAAGCTTTGGGTTCGGAGAACTCCGTATAGGACCCCATAAATCCTGAATTTACCGTTTGTGGGTGGGTATCAATGAACCAATGAAATTATGCACCTTACATGTTCAGTCCACAAAATTTTTTTTTCGTTTAAAAACTCTTTACATTAAACAATTATTAAAATACAAGCATACACTAACTGTAAATACTAAACATACTTACTCTTAAATAAAAAAAACTCTAAAAAAGTACTACTATAAATGGGATATTCAAGCCTGCCTAAGTACACAATAGGTACACAAAATAAACTGTCAAACACTCAAATCTTTTAGTGGTCCTTCTTTTTTGGCTTCTTTGGATTCCTAGACCTAGATTTAGCTTTACACAGTGGACAAATAGGCGCATTTCTGTGAATTTGTTGATGACAGCTTAGGCAAGACTTCATTGGCGGCGGCTGTTGCCTGCAACATTAAACATATGAGTGTAGCAGCTGAGTTTAAATGTGGTGTATAAAAGAAGTTTAATAGAGAATCAAGAGCACCTCAGATTAAGGTCGGACCTGAATGTAGGAGTTGGTCCTGTGTGTGGCGAAGGCGGTAATCCCCCAGGACGGCCCGGCTCTGGTTTATTTGTCACTAGTCTGAGAGGATTCGGAGGCGGCAAAAATGTAGGCGGCAGAGGTGGCGCTAGTGAGCTCGTCGAACTTTCGTTTGGTTGTATTGGACGAGTCCAGTCGCTTGACTTGTTGTAAGTTTGTGATTGTGTTTTGTTTGAATTGTAGAGCTGGGAAAAGCGCCTAGAAGACGTAGCAATATTATAATTTTCACACATACAATAAAAATATATTAATTATGGTTTGATCATTAATATCCTAAATGCAGTCAGGGTAAGGTGGCCGTGTCTTGTTTTATTTAAATGCCGTTAGATGTCTCTGACCGCAGTCCTCCAAAGAGGAAGAAAGTATTGATCCCAGAGATATGGTAGAAATATTTTCATATTTGGGTGGGCAAATTCGGTCACCCGGTCATCAAATATCGTTCATTTCATTCACTTCGTTCTTAGTCATTCATGGATGTGTTGATGAATTCATGATATTCGGTCAACATTTTAGTTTCCCTTTTCCTTGGACACATCAACGAAATAAATTTCTGTATTCAATAAAAAAAGTTGGTCCAAGGTACTTCGACAGAAGTTCCCTCGCCCTTGAAGTACACTCCAACAAATTCCGTTTCTTTGAAAAATTATAATTTTAGAAAATTTGTGTTTTCTAATAACCTTTATATAATAAAAACCAGTGGTGTAAATGACACCTCGAACCCCCAACGGAAAAGAGTGTATTATTATCAGTGTACATACTTAACTTCGATTGTTTATATTTATACATCGAAATAATGTCACGTAGAAATTTGTTTAATTTGAATGAGTTGTCTCCTCAAAAGAGAATACTAAAATTATTAATTAAGCCGCAATGGAACAAAATGTTTTGAATATGATTATTATTAAATAAAAACGTGGGTATTCCCACATTTTCTACAAAATAAAAACCAGAGACATAAATAACATTCCTTGTCCTGCAGCACTAGGTAATAGCAATCTGAAGCTCAAGTGTTTATTTATGTTTATACATCGAAAAAATGTAACGTAGAAATTAGTTTGATTTGAATGAGTTTGTCTTCTCAAAACAGGACTAAAATTATTAATTAAACCACAATCGAACAAAATGTTCTCAATATTATAATTCTTATTTTATCATTATTATATAAAGACGTGCGTATTCTTCACATTTTCGAGAAAAAGGGGCGACTCGTTCTTAATTTGACCAATAAAAAAATTGGTCGAAAGTTGTTTCGACAGAACTTCCCCCGCTGCTGAAATACAATGATAATTTTTTTTGAGTCACCCTGTAAACAAAAATCCAAAAATAATAATGGAATGATAAATCACAAGTATAGACTCATCATATTTTGTACAATTTAGATAGGATTTATTCAGAAAAATTTTGGGGTGATTTTTTTTAGGGGGGATGAGCAAATACATTTTGATCAAAAATTTACCATGCTTATGATAACTTTAATAAAACATCAAGATTTCAAAGCATTCGGTTTTGTATATAGCCCCTAAAAAACACAGTATCGTCACCGTGGAGCAAACCTGGCGTAAACTTTACAAAAACAAAAATTACTAACACCATTTGACGACCGTGAAATTTAAAATGGTTTTATGTTGGGTTTAAAGTTTCTAGTTTATGCACAAAATTAGGTTTTTTAATTTGAATAAAATTCAAAAAATGTGTTGATTAGATAAATAATATTAATGAAATATAAAATTTAATGAATAAAATCATATTCAGTAATTAATTTTATTAATTGGCAATTTTAAATCAAACACCAACATTTTTTGTTTATACATTTTTTTACTCATTGAATCACCACTATATACATTTTTTTTTTTGTGAAATTTTGTATCACTTGCCTTGATAGCAAAAAAATTCGGATAAGTAAATACTGGTTTACATTGTTTTTTTAAATTCGACTACACTGACATGCAGTTCTCCCAAGACCGAATCCTAATATTAAATTAAAACACTGTTGAATACAACGACTTTAAACAAGAATAACGTGCACGTCACGACCACGTGACAACCATTTACATGCCGTCAACTCTCTGCTGAATTTAGTTCCAAACCAGGGGAATTTTTTGCGTTACCAACTGCATTTGCTCCAATCGTACAACAATGGATCACCACACTATGTATTTCTAGGGGCTATAGGTTTTGTAGTTCCTGATAAAACAATAAAATAAATTTACGCATTCATTAATTTTTTTGCGTCACCCTGTATATGCAAATCCAAAAAATATGAATGAAATGACAAGTTATAAGTACAGACTCATCATATTCTGTACATTTTAGATAGGATTTATTCGGCAAATTTTTGACCTGACGTCATCAATTTTTTGGAGAGGATAGCAAATACATTTTGACTAAAAATTTATTATGCTCTTTATAACCTTAAAACATCTGCAAGATTTCAACGGATTCGGTTTAGCAGATTCAAAATGAAATCACAAAATGTTGTTTAATGATTCTGATTTTTTTCCAAAAATTTGAACGTTTCGGGTAAAAGCTCAATACGGAATCATAAACTACATGTGTAGCACTATGTTATTTTATACAATTTGAAACCCATTTACTCTGCACAATTTTGAAGTGACGTCATCACATTATTGATGGTGGTATAAACACAGGTGACTCATAAAAATTAATGAATGAGTCAATTTTATTTATTAAATCAGGAACGGTTCACCCCGTTTTCCCGAAAATTTGGGAACAGAGTACTGTAATCATTAGTATTACACTGCACCTATCCAAAGTGATATAAAGTTTGTCCAGAATTATAAGAATTTTATGGACTTCCAACGTTAATTCGTTTTACAGCCCAGGCGTCAATTCTTTTTGTACAGGTAAAGAGCCTGTCAGGGGAAAGCCGAAGTTTTCTGTACCTGAGTTCGCCCCGCTCTTCAGCTGTACAATAAAATTGACAACAGGGCTGTAAAACGAATTAACTTTGGGAGTCCATAAAATTCTTATAATTCTAGACAAACTTTACGTGTTTTTGCAAAAATGTTGACGTCATCACAAAATTTTGTTAAGGAAAAACTCATTTGAAACGTACACCCAGCACGCTTCTTTGCATTTATTTTAATGTTACGTACATATCTTTATTTTAACTTATAAGGGTTCTCATAAAAAAATAAAATTCGCATAACCAAATTTTATAATTTTTTATAACCTTCAACTATTTTTTTTTTGCTTTGTTAATATGTGCAGTTCTAACTGCAATTTGCCCTTTATTTAAGAATGTGAATAAAATTCATTGCTCTTCCGTAGTTTAGTTTTTATACTTAAGTAAATTTCTATACTTTTTATTGGCAGAAATTCTCTTATGTTTCTTTTTTGTATCTACGTGACTTATTAGAACATCCACTAATAAATTATTTGCTAAAGAAAGATCTATGAAGTAATTGTTGAAACTTACTATAGCACCAAGAGGTTAGGGTATATCATGATCTTGAAGAGACATGTTGATGACGGTAGAAAGTACCTCTTACGCGGTTAATTTTAAATCTAGTTACTTCTTCCCATTACATTGCAAGAGCGATTTTGCCGAAGCTGGCATTGTGTTTACAAAACCTTGTAGCCAGGACGTACTCACAATCAGGGTAGTTCACACCAAGATCCCAAAAACCCTAGCGAGGTATACTAGTCCAAAAGCTATAACGTTATATGACCATCATAAAAGTAGTTGACCGCAAATAAATACCCCCTTTGTGTGGTTCGCACTAAGCTTATCGGTTGGCAATAAATCGCCTTCTAAATATTTCTTGCTCACATTTAACAGGGCCGGTTTTCAAAGCGAGTGGTTATTTCGGAACCCTCAGCGGCTGCAGGTAGTATAAAAAAGAAAAGAAATAATGGAGTGGTGGATTTACATATTTAGGGAAAGCCGCCCCTGAACGAAACCTCAACAGGCGGTCGAGCTGCAGTGGACACTTTTCTATTGTAAACAACTTAACTTCAACATAGTGGGATAATTTTATGATGGCCCTATAACCTTATAGCTTTTGGACTACTATACTTTCTATGTCACAAACGAGTGGTGGCTCCCCTTCCCCCCGTAAGAGGTCTGTTGACAAATTCGCTGTATGCACTAACCTAGCCACTATTAAGGAACCTTGGTGTTAAATATATTCTTAATCTACCCTGGACTAGAAATTTTAACAATAATAAAATATCCAAATCTACCAGTTTCTAAGATATTAATCGGCACAATAACATTCATTCTTGCGAATGACTTGTATGATAAACTAAAATAGTTTTACTGCAACAAAAAATTGCAATAAAAAGATGTTTTTTGCAGTTTCGCAAAGACAGGCCCGATCTTTCTGTAAACATTGTGAAAAACTTATTTTGGCAGATTGGGAAAAAATATGGGAAATCTTTCGTACGAATCTATACCTCCTTTCATTATTTCGCTAGGTGAATCTGATTCAGAATCTAAATTTGAAAATGACGGTGATGATACAGATTTTCATAGCGAAATAATGGAAATGGAGTGAATTGTAGTTTGTCGGGGGGTGATATTTTAACGCATCTTTCGTTCTAAATTTACCAAGGTAGTATGTGAAAAACTACCTGATGTACAACAAAATACGTATAATTTTAGTTAGATCATCCACGTTGTTACTTTGCACCAAATTTTAAGCATTTTCATTTTTTTTGGAACTCTTCATGGACCTGGAGAAGGCGTATAGTAACGTTCTTATTAATAAGCGTTTGGAAGTACTTAGTAAAAGCAAATAAGCGCAGTTACGTAAGCATTAGTAATAGCTATATAGATAAATCATTCAATTTAAGAACGGAAAAATGTTTCAGAAGAGCTAAACCCATCAAAGCACTAGAGCAAGGTTGTTGTCTTTTACAACCCTTTTAGTAATCTTAGAAAAGTGAAAAAAGAAGTTGGAAGATACGGAAATAGACTGTCCACAAAGGTCCAAATTTCCATTTCTACGAAGAGTGGGCGAGCAGAACGAACTGATGATTGAGAATTAAAGATAAGATGCTAAATGTGGCATGCGACAATAGTCGTATGTAGAACCCCCATTCATATAAAAACAATGTTTAAGTGAAATTTTAGTGTTTGTTCCTTACATATGAAATAAACACTTACAAAAAGTCGAATAACTGTTTTAAATAGCGTAAAGTATTATGCTTTCTAAGAAATGGATGCCGTTAACTTGGTCATTGCTACTGAAAACTGAAAGTATCGGCAACAATGTTTATATTTCTGGCATATTTTTTAACCTTTAATTTAATAAAACATAACCGAACGAAAAAAGTTCAGGGAATTTTTATTCTTCTGCATCGAATACCAACAAACTCACTAGATTTTCATGGCCAACCCTACTATATAAAGATCGTGAACGGATAATAACTTTAGCCAAGTTTTTGAATTCATTTTGTATGACAGAACTCTTAATCACGTCATGAACAAGATATCTCATTATCAGCATGGTTTTGTTTCAAAAAGATCGACTGTTACGAATCTTGCGTATATTGCACAATTCCTCTGTGAACATCTAGATAGACTGTCAACATGTGCAAATTCCTCCACTGATTAATAGAAGAAGATACTTTTAATAAAGTTTTTATCACAGATTTTAAACTACATATGAAGTTTACTGTTCATATTTATCGTCTAAAATATGTTTGCGAGTTCCTTCTTTTAACTGTCGGGCACATAATTTGTTTCATCTGGAGACAGCAAGAACAAATGCTTTGGTGATGTCACCAGTACATAAAATGGTTGGCTCTTACACATTGATGAAGTCAAATGCAGATGTATTTGCACTAAAAATATCAGATCTCTAATAGTCTCTTAGCACCTAATAATTGAGGTATTGCGGTATTCGAGCTAGGTACATTCAGTATAAACATACCTATACCTGGGCCCAGTAGTGAGAGACAACTGCTGTTATAGTTTATACTTTAAATGTTAAGGTGACGTTGGTCCGTAAATGAGAAAACCTGTTGATCAACTTGATTAATAATAATAATAATAATAACATATATTTTTACTTCCCGAGCGTAAGCAAAGGAAGTACAGTATAACCTCGATAATTCGAATTAATTGGGGATTTGTTTGGATCAGCGAATTTCCCAAAAAGCTGAAAGGGAATTGAACAACAACTTCATACACTACTGAAAACAAATTTCAAGAAATAAACCTTAATTTTCTTAAACAGAAATAAAGTATTCGTAACATTGGAAAAAATATTACTCCGTGACCATAACCACGATATATTTTTGGAATCAACACGTCGGGATCTATATCCCTGAATTTAATCAGAATTTTTAGATAACTTGTTCAAAAATGAAATTTCCCATTATGTATTCGTATTATCTCCATTATGCTAATTTCGACCCATTCTCGACGATTTTCGAAACTTAACTACATACTTCCATGTAGATTTTGGGCCACAGAAGTCACTTCTGGCTTTATTTCAGTGATACCTTGAACCGTTTTTCCAGAATCTTCCATCGAAATATCGTAATTTTCAAAAAATTCGAATTTCACACCGAATTTTCCGAAAATATTGTTCCGTTGCCATAAACATGCTATATTTTTGGAATCAGCACGTCAGGATATACCGTGAGGTTTTTTTTTCCACTGAACATACGATAATTCATGTATGTTGGGTTGCACATTCATCCTCCAATGGATTGATATGGACTTTTAAAAACTGAACATAAGATTCGTAATAATTGAGGAGTAGGCCATGTCAACAATAACATTTGCATTAAAATTTTTGACGAAATTGTTTTAAAAAGGTCAATAACGTAAATTTTCTGTTCTCTAAACTTGTTACAACTTATTACAATACCTTAACATGAAGACAGTGCCAAATGTCAATGGCAATATCTTTGACATAACCCAAATCTCGATCAGATTTTATGTTTAATTTTTAAAAGTCCAAGTCAATCCATTACAAGCAGGTATGCAACCAACTTAACATTAATTATTATGTTCAGAGAACAAAAAACCTCACGGTATATATCTCTGAATTTTTTCAGAATTTTTAGACAACTTTTTCAAAAATGAAATTTTACAGTATGGTAGTATAATTTGCCAAAATAAAACTCCTTTTGATAAATGACCTACTCTTCTAAGAAAAGGTACTAGCCCCGCCCACCCACCCTTTATTTTCTTACAAGAGTAAGTCATCTGTCAAAATCAGTCTTATCTTGGCAAGTATGAGACTGATTTTTGCAAATGACAGATCCTCTAAGAAAATAAGGGTGAGTGGGCGGGGCTAGTACTTTTTAAAATAAGACTGATTTTGGCAGATGACCCACTTTTCCAAGAAAGTAAAGGGTGGGTGGGCGGGGCTAGTACTTTTTAAAATAAGACTGATTTTGGCAGATGACCCACTTTTCTAAGAAAGTAAAGGGTGGGTGGGCGGGGCTAGTACTTTTCCTTAGATGAGTAGGTCATTTGCCAAAATGAGTCTTATTTTGGCAAATACTAGCCTGGCCCACCCGTCTTTTATTTTCCTAGAGGGTAGGTTATTTGGCAAGTACTAGCAAATTTCGACCCATTTTCGACGATTTTCGAAATTTAATAAAGTACTTTTTCTTGTAGATTTTGGGGTACAGAAGTCACTTCCGGCCTCATTTCTTCTATAACTTCAACCTTTTTTCCAGAATTAGTTAATTAATACGATTTTTAAAAATTTCAAAAAATTCAATACAACACGTACAGAAAGATCTTGCGTCATTTTTGCAAGTAGGTGCATGTTTTCAAGTTCAGATCGGAGTTCTTGTTCGGAGTAAAGAGATATCGACTTCAGCTAGCCTCTGTTTTTTTGAATCTGCTAACCCGAATGCTTTGAAATGTTGCAGGTGTTTTAAGGCTATAAAGAGCATCATAAATCTTTAGTCAAAGTATATTTGGTTATCCCCTCCAAAAACTTGATGACGTCAGCTCAAAAGTTTGCTGAATAAATCCTATCTAAAATGTACAAAATATGATGAGTCTGCACTTGTGATCTAACACTCCATTCATATTTTTTCGATTTGTATATACAGGGTGACTCAAAAAAATTAATGAATGCGTGAACTTATTTTATTGATTTACTCAGGAACTACAAAACCGAATGCTTTGAAATCTTGAAGATGTTTTAAAGTTATCAGAAGCATGGTAAATTTTTGATCAAAATGTATTTAGTCGTCCCCGCTGAAAAAATTATGACATCACCCCAAAATTTTAGTGAATAAACCTATCTAAAATGTACAAAATATGATGAGTCTCTTCTTGTGATTTATCGTTCCATTCAAATTTTTTGGATTTGCATATACAGGTGGCTCAAAAAAATTAATGAATGCGTAAATTTATTTTACTGATTTACTGAGGAACTACAAAATCGAATGCTTTGAAATCTTGAAGGTGTTTTAAGGTATATAGGCATGGTAAATGATTAGTTAAAATGTATTTGTTCATCTTCCCTAAAAAATTTATGACGTCATCTCAAAATTTCGCTGAATATATCCTATCTTAAAAGTGCAAACTATGATGAGACAATACTTGTGATTTATCACTACCTTAAAATTTTTTAGATTTGCTTATACGGGGTGTCTCAAAAAAATAATCACTGAGTCAATTTATTTTATCGATTAAATCGAGGATTGCAAAACTGAACACTTTGAAATCTTGCAGACATTTTGAACTTATTGTAAGAATCTTAACTTTTTAATCAAAATGTATCTGTTTATCCAATGTACAAAATATGATCAGACTATACTTGTAATTAATCATTGCATTCATATTTTTTAGAACTGGTTATACAGGGTAACTCAAAAAAATTAATGAATCAGTCAAGTTATTATTGATCAAATTACGAACGAGCCGTGACTTCCAGAGTGAAAGCGAATTTATTGAAATATCCCGTCACAGAACTCTAATGAGAAGAATCTATGACATAAAGACACAGTTCTGAAAGCGAGGAAGTACTGTCTAAATTCTTTAGAACAATTTTTTTATACCCCCGTTATATTGGCAACGCCCACGCATTTCTTGTTAATAATCAGTTTGACATTTTTGGTTAAATAACTGTCAAAGAATTGCAAGGAAAAAATCACCATTATAAAACCAAATATCATGACTTACTTGATGTTTTTTTTTTCAATAATACGACATGTTATAAAATTTAGAAAGAACAAAACCGCAAACGTAGACAAATTGCCACATTTTTCAACAGATGAGCACCATAACTGTGCAAGACACTTCATAGCACAACACATAAAAATATTACACCTTTACTACAAACATGACATAAGTTTTTTTGTTACATACTCTGCTGTGATAGCAGATCCCTCTTCTTCATGCAGCTCAGGGAGACGCTCCAAACCCAGACACTCCCTCCGCAGTCTATCAATTTCATTTTTAAGAGGAACATATTCTTCATGCAGCCGTACTGCATAATTCAAAGATCGTTGCCTACTTTCTTCTGACTGTTTAATGACTCCTTCCATCTAAAAATAAAACATTTCCGTTAACAACCTCTAAAAATTAAATATACTAACAGCGTTGATGTCTGCATGTATCTGCCTCAGTTCTTCTACATGTGACATTTTCTCTTGCAGAAGCAACTCCATTTCTTGTTTGTATTCTGAGAGACATTTCTCCTCTTGATCCTGAGATTCGATTTCAAGAATTAAACGATTCTTAATTTTCTCTAGTTGGATTGTTTTACCACTGAAAGTAATTATTGATTTTTTTTATGTAAACATAAGTATTTTTTAAGTTTACTTACCGAATTTCCTTAACGGCCTCTAATTTCGCGTAAACCGAACGTTCATCTGTGCTGGAAGTCATTTTTTTGGGTTCTTACTGTGTAAATAAACGTGTTTACTTTTGAATTTCCACTATCTGTTCAACCCCTTGTGGTAGCCATTCATCTATTCAAAGGACGTAATCTTGCAAGGAAACATTTAAATAAATGCGGGTTTTTCTAAATTAAACGGGCGAAAAATTTAACGCCGTGGTTTGAAATTAAACTCACAATAATTAACAAAGTTGTGTTTTAGTTGCGGTTAAAATAATTTATAAAAATGATATAATTCACGCTATTTATATCCTTCTAATAATAGTAGCCATAGACGGCTCGTAACTGGCATATGTAAGGGATACAATTTGGTCCGTAATTGGTAATTCATATCGCTAGAACTAACTAATAGCAGAGAACATCGAGAAGCATCAAAGTTTAAATTAAATAACGGTTGAGGACTCCTCGACTTATGTTGGCAACAGTGTTTGGTCGTAACTAGGAATAAAATTAACTACAATAGAAAAAATGTCATAATATTTTTAACGACGCGTTTCGCTTTCAACAAATTGACATTAGATTTACCAGAATATCACAAGCTGCTTACTGTTTCCTTCACTTTAATTCAGGTCACAGGAATTACAGTTCGTCGTCTGAGAACTTGTTTGATCTACAGACCAGAGCGCACTCAGGCCAATGTCGACTCTAAGCGTTCGGAAACGATTTGATTTATAAGCCATGATCCATGATCTGATACATATCCTGACCGGTTTCGACCATAATTTCTTGCTGTTTTAACTTTCGAATTCTCAGTTTTTCGAAATTTTAGTTTGGAGACTTTTCAGTTTACTGCTATTTATTATTCAATGTTTGGATTTCTCAATTTTTCAATTTCTCGGTTTTCAGTTTTTCTCTTCAATTTTACGATTTTTAAATATCTCGATTTTTCAATTTTTGTCTTTTATAAACTCTTTATTTGTCGATTTTTCAATTAATTGATTTTTCAGGTTTTTTGATTTTTCAATTTTTCTATTTTTTCAGGTTTCGATTTTTCAACTTCACTTTTTTGATTTTTCGATTTCTCAGTTTTTCAATTTTTTAATTTCTCAGTTTTTGGACATTTCAGTTTTCGGATTTTTCAGTTTACTTATTATTCAATTTTTCGATCTTACGATTTTGCAGGTTTTTGATTTTTCAATTTTTCGATTTTTTTAAGGTTTCGATATTTCAATTTCACTTTTTTGATTTTTAGATTTCTCAATTTTTCGATTCTTTCGGTTCTCAGTTTTTCGATATGTCAGTTTTGGCAGTGAGTATAGATTTAAATACAGTCACTGGTTTAGGGATTTTTCAGTTTTTCGATTCGTCAGTTTTTCTTTCATTTTTCAGTTTTTCGGTATTTCAGTTTTGGGATTTTTCAATATTTCTGTGCTTCGACTTTTCCATTTCTGAATTGTGGATTTTTAGATGTGTCGACTTTTTACTTTTTCAATTTTTAAATTTTAGATTACTCAATTTTTTGGTATTGTAATTTTTCAATATTTAAAATTTTAGATTTTTCGATTTCTCGATTTTTCATTTCAGCTCTTCCATATTTCAATTTTTCAAATGTTTCGATTTCTTAATCTTTCGATTTTTCGACTTCCCGGTTTTAGATTTCCTGTTTTTCAATTGTCGTTTTTTCAATTTTTCGATTTTTAAATTTTAGATTTTTCAGTTTTTTGACATTTTAATTTTTCAATATTTAAAATCGGGAAACGAAGAAGCTGACAGGGCTGCTAAAGAAGCAGTCGAATCGGAATCTGCCGCAGAAATTTTGTTAGTCCCAGCACCTGACGCCAAAAGTTTATTTAAACAGGCTATCATTCAAAAGTGGCAAACAGACTGAACCTCTACGCCTACAGCATTGCAGCTGATTAAGCCAGAAGTTAACTGTATACTTCCACTTCCGCCAGATCGTCGTGATCAAGTCGTTTTAACGCGGTTGCGATTAGGACACACTCGGCTCACCCATGGATACCTGCTCAACCGCACCTCCCCAGCTACTTGCCAGCAATGCGGATGCCGTCAAACTGTCCAGCATCTCATCTGCGATTGTCCCCACTGGCAAACCCAACGCAAACATTTCCAAATATCACCCAACCTCGCTGAAGCGCTAGGAAGTACCATCCCGAACATGGTCAACATCCTTCTGTTCCTTAAACATATTCAGCTGTTTGAATGCATATAGAAGGGTTTTTCTTTTTACTAAGTGTGTTTTCCTACCATGTAAGGTTGCTAATGACCTAGCTGTCGATGCGACCAAATGTACAAATAAAAAAAAAAAAAAATTTTAGATTTTTCGATTTCTCGATTTTTCATTTCAGTTCTTCGATATTTCCGTTTTTCATGTTTTCGAATTTTTCAAATGTTTTTATTTCTTAATCTATCGATTTTTCGACTTCCCGGTTTTAGATTTCCTGTTTTTCAATTGTCGTTTTTTCAAATTTTCGATTTTTCAATTTTTCAAATTTGACATTTAAACTGTCAATTCTTCGATGTTTTGATTTTCCCATTTCTTGACTTTCGAGGGTTTCGATATTCCTGTTCTTCAATTCTTTAATTTTTCGATTTTTCATTTTTTAGTTTTTTTAAGGTTTCGATTTTTCGACTTCACTTTTTGGATTTTTCGATTGCTCAATTTTTCGACTTTGTAGGTTCTCAGTTTTTGGATATTTCAGTTTTCGGATTTTTCAGGTTTTCCATTTTTCAGTTTTTCTTTCATTTTTCAGTTTTTGGATATTTCAGTTTTGGGATTTTTCAATATTTCGATTTTTAGACTTTTCGATTTTTGACTCCTGGATTTTTCGATGTTTTGATTATTTTACTTTTTCGATTTTTCAATTTTTCGATTTTTAAATTTTAGATTTTAAATTTTTTAAATGTTAGATTTTTCGATTCTCAATTTTTCAGTTCAGTTCTTCGATATTTGAATTTTTCAAGTTTTCGAATTTTTCAAATGTTTCGATTTCTTAATCATATTTTCCAATTCCCGGTTTCAGATTTTCTGTTTTTCAATTGTCATTTTGTCAAATTTTCGATTTTTTAATTTTTCAAATTTTTTACTTTCATAAACTCTCAATTTTTCGATTTTTCAATGAATCCATGTTTTGATTTTCCCATTTCTTGACCTTCGAGTGTTTCGATTTTTCTGTTCTTCAGTTCTTTAATTTTTTGATTTTTCAGGTTTTTGATTTTTCAATTTTTCGATTTTTTAAGGTTTCTATTTTTTGACTAGACTTTTTTGATTTTTAGATTTTTCAGTTTTAGAATTTTTCAATATTTCAATTCTTCGGCTTTCTATTTTTGACTTCTGGATTTTTCGATGAGTATACCTTTTTCCTTTTTCGATTTTTCAATTTCTGGATTTTTAGATTTTAGATTTTTCATTCTTTTGATATTTTGATTTTTCAATATTTCTTAATCTTTCGATTTTTCGACTTCCTGGTTTTAGATGTTCTGTTTTTCAATTTTTCGATTTGTTAATTTTTCATTCCCGATTTATCGAGATTTGATTTTTCAGGTTTTTAATTTTTGATTTTGGCCTATTTAGGTTTCTCAGTTTTTCCAGTTTTCCATTTTTTTCGTTTTTTGATTTTTCCGCTTTTCCAATTTTTCAACTTTTAACCTTTTGTATGTCGATTTCTGTATTTTTCGATTTCTCGTTCTCTTGATCTCTCAATTTTTCAATTTTTCGAATTTTTCAAATGTTTCGATTTCTTAATCATTTTTTCCAATTCCCGGTTTTAGATTTTCTGTTTTTCAATTGTCATTTTGTCAAATTTTCGATTTTTTAAATTTTTCAAATTTGACTTTCATAAACTCTCAATTTTTCGATTTTTCAATTAATCGATGTTTTGATTTTCCCATTTCTTGACCTTCAAGTTTTCGATTTTCCTGTTCTTCAGTTCTTTAATTTTTTAATTTTTCAGGTTTTTGTTTTTTCAGTTTTTCGATTTTTTAAGGTTTCTATTTTTCGACTTGACTTTTTTGATTTTTAGATTTTTCAGTTTTAGGATTTTTCAATATTTCAATTCTTCGGCTTTCTATTTTTGACTTCTGGATTTTTCGATGTGTATACCTTTTTCCTTTTTCGATTTTTCAATTTTTGGATTTTTGAATTTTAGATTTTTCATTCTTTTGATATTTTAATTTTTCAATATTTCTTAATCTTTCGATTTTTCGACTTCCTGGTTTTAGATGTTCTGTTTTTCAATTTTTCGATTTGTTAATTTTTCATTCCCGATTTATCGAGATTTGATAGTTCAGGTTTTCGATTTATCAGTTTTTTCTTTTGGCCTATTTCGGTTTCTCAGTTTTTCCAGTTTTCCATTTTTTCGTTTTTGATTTTTCCGCTTTTCCAATTTTTCAACTTTTAACTTTTTGTTTGTCGATTTCTCTATTTTTCGATTTTTCGACTTCATCACTTTTCGATTTCTCGTTCTCTTGATCTCCCAATTTTTTAATTTTTCGAATTTTTAAGTTTTTTGATTTCTCGATTTATCGAGATTTGGATTTTTAGATATTTTGATTGGCAATTTCTCAATTTATAAATTGTTCAATTTTTAACTTTTCGATTTTTCGATTTTGGCCCATTTCGGTTTTTCAGTTTTTCCAGTTTTCCATTTTTTCGTTTTTTGATTTTTCCGCTTTTCCAATTTTTCAACTTTTAACTTTTTGTTTGTCGATTTCTCTATTTTTCGATTTTTCGACTTCATCACTTTTCGATTTCTCGTTCTCTTGATCTCCCAATTTTTTAATTTTTCGAATTTTTAAGTTTTTTGATTTCTCGATTTATCGAGATTTGGATTTTTAGATATTTTGATTGGCAATTTCTCAATTTATAAATTGTTCAATTTTTAACTTTTCGATTTTTCGATTTTGGCCTATTTCGGTTTTTCAGTTTTTCCAGTTTTCCATTTTTTCGTTTTTTGATTTTTCCGCTTTTCCAATTTTTCAACTTTTAACTTTTTGTTTGTCGATTTCTCTATTTTTCGATTTTTCGACTTCATCACTTTTCGATTTCTCGTTCTCTTGATCACCCAATTTTTTAATTTTTCGAATTTTTAAGTTTTTTGATTTCTCGATTTATCGACATTTGAATTTTTAGATATTTTGATTGTCAATTTCTCAATTTATAAATTGTTCAATTTTTAACTTTTCGATTTTTCGATTTTGGCCTATTTCGGTTTTTCAATTGTTCGACTTTTCGACTCCACGATTTCTTGATCTTTTGATTTTCGATTTCTCGGTTTTTCGATTTTCCAGTTTTTCGATGTTTCGATTTTTCAGTTATCCGATTTTTTAAATTTGGCAGTTTCGATTTCTCGATTTTTCGTTATTCGGTTTTTAAATTTTAGATTTTTGAATTTTACATTTTTTCGATTTTTTGATGTTTCATTTTTTTATTTTCAGTTCTTCGATATTTCGATTTTTCCATGTTTCGGTTTTACGATTTTTTAAGGTTTCGATTTTTCGATTATTAGATTTCTCGATTTTTCGAATTTTCGATTATTTTAATTTTTCATTTTTTTGTTCTCACTGTTAATATCATCTAGTGTATCGAAAACAACCACAGAAATTGTCACCAAAAACATTTAAAAATTCATACAAAATAGAACATAGTATTTCCAAAACATTTTCCCGAAAAAAATCCATTGGGTTATTACGATTTCAACAATATTCTTAGTTTAAGACGTTTGCTAGTATAAAACATAAATAAAGAATTAATTCTTATTAGGTAGACAAAATATGTAAAATCATCTAAATATTTGCGAAAAATATTCGCTTCTGAACGCTTAGAGTCGATATTGGCCGAAGCGCGCTCTGGTCTGTAGATCAAACAAGTTCTCAGGCGACGAGTTGTAGTGAAACAAGTTTTTTTATTGGCATCTACTATTTAAATTTGGCGCTTGTCTTTGGCGGTTGCGGACTCCAATGTCAATAAAGGTGCTTTTCCAAAATCAGCCTGTATGTCGCATCTATATTAATCTATGCTAACAGTCATCTTATAAATATTTGTGTTCAAATAAAATCAAATTAAATTACAGGTGGATATTGCGAAAGAGGATTGCCTCAAGAAAATAAATAGAAAAAAATTTACATACAAACTAAAATTACTGAAGTTTTATAGAAAAAAAAACACTCTGCGTGAAGCTACGTAAGCTGATGGAAAAAATGTGTAATGGGTTAAAAAACATGCTTGAATCCCTCCTTACGCGGCGCCACTGACCAAAACACCGACTTCTGTTTTCAATCCAGGAACTTTTATTTTTCACTAGATCGTTGAATGCGTCCTGCGGATATCGCTAGCATCAGAACCAGAACTGACGTAAGGAAAATTGTGCAGGTTTGTGGTTCAGGTTCTCACAATTGTTGGTGTTTTGTGTTGTAACAGTGCTTTTATTGCGGTAATAATCGATACAAGAAAAATTCAGATAATCTGAAGTACCGTTTTGCAGTTTCCCCCTGTGACAAACGGAGACAATGAAGTACCAACTAATTACATTGTTTGTAATTGTAAGCGTATGTCAGGGAGCAAAACTGGGTAACTTTCAAATTCTTCCGTTTTTATATTGTTCATTGACGACTTTTTATAACTTTTTCAGTTGGCGATAGTGTTGTAATCAACGGTCAAACAGATCCTATCCCATCAGTAACTGAAATTACACCGAACGGTAATGATACTACGACAGTACCAACAACCTCCACTTCTACTCGTGAGTATAGTAATTAGTTAATTAAAGTTTTGCTGCAAACGAATATAAGTTGTATGCATTTCATAATTGGATTTTAATTTCCTGATTGTGATCATGTTTAACAAGAATTTAATGTTGGAAATGAAAGGTGATGTCAGGGTCAATGTAATGCTGCCACATGTAGGTATATTGTTGATATCCTTGTTTTATCTTTTGTTTACAAAAACAAACGTTTCAATTGTCACTGTAAACAGAACTAGGTGTTTTAGTATTATATATTATTGTAGACCTTGACTCATTAAAAGTGTATGAACATAGTAACTACGTAGTATTGGTTGTATTTATCTCATGTGTTGTTAGTTTGATAAGTTCAAATACTGACCTTAGAATCAACTCTAGCAATATTTTGTTACTTGTTTTGAATATTTAATTGTGGGATTTTACCATCACTGTAATCACTTCCCTTTACATCAATTTTGTGTGCAGTCAGCATATTTTTTAACATTTTAACTATTTTAATTAGTCAGACTTGGCGATTTCTAGTTTAAATCAGAGCTATCTAATGTTAGCCAAGCATAAATAATTCGGGAGTTTTTAAATTTAAGGTTATTTTTTGGCCAAGGTAATTATAAAGGATTGTATATCAAGTTGGCTTTGAAATTTCGTATATTTGCCGCTTCGTTTTGATGAAGGATCACTGCTCGTCGTCGCCGGTCATAAATGTCATTGATAACCTAAATTCTAATTGTTCTGTGTCTCATGGAAGCGGCAAATTCTTATTATGCACTTTAAACATTTAGTAACAGTACTTACATTAATACATAATCAGGGGACGTCTGGTATGTTCTGATGGTAGCTACCGTGCTTGTTTATTTTTGACATAATGGACATACGATATATGCTATTACAAACATAGAACAATAATTAAATAAGAATGTTTCCGTTATAGTGATTAATATGCAGTTACCGTTTCATAATGAACATGTCTAAAATAAAATGTTTGCTTATACTATTGTTTTTTAGCGAAGCAATTTGTATAACTGTGATCATAATTATAAACGAATTATAATTTTAAACCATAAAATTGGATTTTTCTGCACACGTTTTTTAGTAAAATAAGAAAATTATCGTTTGTATATGTTTCAAGTAGGAGTAATATAAACTGGTATTAGATGTGGGATTTTATTGATAGTAGTATTTTTAAAACATTACAAAATATTTGTTCATTTACAGTGAGCGTCGACAGTATTATTTGGAATGGTGCTCGTGTGAGTAATAATTTGTTAATTCCAGAATCAAATCCCACCTACGTTAATTCTCGTTCCACCGTTGAATAAATTTATTCCAGCAACATGCTCCATATCTCATAAACCCAATAACCTCTGCGCATTTATTCGGTTTATTTCCATCTGGATGCTCGTCTGGTTTATAATAAATGAGAAATTTGGCGTCGTTTGTTAGTTACAATTGTTTTATTTTAGGTGTCAACATCTATTGTATTAATTGTTTCTCACCGTATTCAAGAGTTGAAATGGTTGTAAAAAATTACCAGTGCTAGATTTTTGGACTATTTCCAAAAACTGACGGCTCAAATTCAGTTCAGTATTTTTAGTGTCGCTTCATTGTGCTTCACACCAAGTCGAGTATCGACATTTGTTTCGAATTTTAGTTAGTGAATTATTATGTGATATCAAAGTACAAAGCGTTGAACCTCTCGAGGTCAGTTTTTTTTTATTTTTATTATTCTTGTCAGTTTGTGTGAGCGAAACGTAATGCATAAAATATTAAACAAAGTGCCAAAATAAAACGGACTTAATGGATCTTTAGGGATACATTTTAAAGTTATATTCAATCAGAAAAGTTAGGTTATTGTTGTTATTTGTGACAAAGGTAGAGTAACCATTAGTCATCACTAGACAGCGGATTTCTGTCGGGCTACGTCACGATATAGGTGGGGACGCGCTGCATCGCCGGGACTCAGTAGCGGGTGATAGGTAATCACTGAATTTAATTGTCACTTGATTCCATAAATACAATTAACGATTTATTAATCAAACGGCTAAGTAAATGAGAACTGGAATTAACAGCAGAGTGCAACGAAGCAGCGTTATTCTAATCTCAAATAAACGAAGTGCAGCCGGTAACTGCAATAAATTCCCATCCCGTACGAGCCGTACCGAGTTTGGCCTTGTCTAGCCCGACAGAAATCCGCTCTCTAGTCATCACAACAAGGCGGCAAAACTGAGGAAATATCATAGGCAACTTGATGCACGTTCGGTTATAATCACCTTCTTTAATAAGATGTAAATTATGTGTTCATGAAAGTAAGCATTGTGTGTATTCCACCACCTACATTTTGTAATTATTGACTGGTTTTTTAACCACAGAGGTATTAGTACGTAGAATAATTGAGTAGGCTATTTAAGTACTGAGTGATTAAAAAAATTCAAATTAGAGTGAAATGGAAATACCATATGATCGAAAAAAAACGTCATCTAGTGGAATTAATTAAAAAAAATGTGTCTGTAAATTCCGCACTATCGCAGCTGTTCGTTTAATAACCTTGGATAATAAAAAAAAGTTTGTTTTGTTTTAAGCATGTTTTTATTCGCTGACAATACCAATGCCAAATTGATAAGTAACTTTAATAGAAAACAACAGTCCTGTCACCACAAAAAAGTAGGTTAGGTTTAACATGGAATAAATTTAACTGGCACAATTTTCTCTACAATTACATTAACGAAATTTGAAAGCATTGTCAATTGAAGACGTTTTTATAAACTGTTACTAAACAGGCAACAAATATTACTACGGATTCTAAAATTAGATTTAGTGCTCCTTTTTGGAAAAACTGTTATAGAAAGTTAAAAATCACATTGTCAAAACCGATAATAGTTATTTGTTTACGTATCAAGGGTGTTGTGAATTTTAATAATATTCGTGGTACATACACAATTTTATGTCTTACCGTTTAATTTTTGATGTTTACAAAAAAGTCTTGGCACATTTTTTTATTGGTTGCATTTAGTGGAGAAACACTAATTTATTTCTTCGGATTTAAACGGGGAATTATCATAAAAAATAGGATTTATGTTTCTTGGGTTTCTTGGATTTTTTAATATTTTTCGATTTTGTAATTTTTTTGGAATTTTGGATTTTTTAGTTTTTTGGATATGTTCAATTTTTTGGATTTTTGAATTCTTACATTACTTGAGTTTCTTGTTTTTTTTCGATTTTTTTGGATTATGTAGATTTTTTTGGATTTTTTGATAATTTTATCTTTATTTTCTGATTTTGAATTTTGTGGATTTCGAATTGTTTGATCATTTTGATTTTTTTTTATTTTCTGATTTTTTGAATTTCGAACAATTGGATCTCCCGAGTTTCTTGGGTTTTTTGGATTGTTTGGATTTTTTAGATTTTATTTTGATTTTTTTGGATTTAGTGATTTTTTCAATTTTTTGGTCGAGTTTTATTTTTTATTTTTTTTCGGTTTTCTGATTATTTGGAGTTTTTTGGAATTGTTGGATTTCTTGAGTGTTTTGAATTTCTGGAGTTTCTTGGGGTTTTTTTTATTTTTTCGATTTTGTGATTTTTTGGAATTTTGGATTACAGTAATGTTCGGTTATAACGAACCTCATGGAACTGGGAAAAGTAGTTCGTTATATCCGAAGTTCGTTATAAATGATCTCAAAAAAATCGATACATACATAAACTGAACTATGTATTTCAGGATGCAACATTTAAAAGTATTACAAAAATATAAACATGTAAAGATAATAATACAGTAGTACATATAAGAAAAAAAAACTTGATTAATAAAAAGTTGATTAAAAATAAAAGTTGTTACTTAAAATAATCTCAAAATTTACGTTGCTTCTTGTGAGAAAGATTAATTTAAGAGGGTTTTGGGATCGTTCCCTCTTTTTCTTCTTCTTCTTCTTCGTTATCATCATCGTCTTCAGTCTCATCTTCTGTTTGAATGTTGCATTGAACTAATTCTACAATAGCAGCATCATCCAAAATTTCAGACTTCACTAAAATATCGTCAAAATGGACGTATTCTTCGAAGTCGATATCAAATTCATCGTCAGAATTGCTTTCGTGCTTTCTCAGCCATTCAGCCAATAGTAGTTCGTCTTCTGGGGTGGAATTTTGTTTCTATAACGATAAAATATCGGTACCGATAAAATGTAGTCGTCTTTTTCTTTCGCATCTGAAATTTATATTTTCGTCCTTGTCATTTATCGCTTCGTATCGTATCGTATCGGTAGAAACAAAATCCCACCCCTGGTTCAAATTTTTCCTCACACTAGAGAAACCCAGCATGTCGAAAACAATTAGCAATTGTTTGTTCTGATACTTTTTGCCATGCCATACTGATAAAATTGACGGAATCTAATAGATTCACACAAAAGTGTTCCTGACCATTGTCGAGATAAAGCTGACTGATTAAAAAGTTCGTTATAAACGATTTTTTTTTCTTAAATATTAAAAATTTGGTTCGTTTTATCCGAAAGTTCGCTATAAGCGGGTTCGTTATAATCGGAAAAAATAACATGTATCTTATGGTACTTCAGTTCGTACTTTGCAAGTTGGTTCGTTATATCAGGAAGTTCCCTTTAACCGGGTTCGCTATAAGTGATCATTACTGTATTTAGATTTTTTTGGATTATGTAGATTTTTTTGGATGTTTTGATATTTTTTATTTTTATTTCTTGATTTTGAATTTTATGGATTTCGAATAAACGAATTTTTTGAGTTTCTTGTTTTTTTTTGGATTTCGTGGGTTTTTTTGATTTTTTAGATTTTTAGGATGTTTAATTTTTCGGATTATTGAATTCTTATTAGATTTCTTGAGTTTCGTGGGTTTTTGGTTTTTTTGGTTTGGTTAATTTTTTGGATTTTTTGATAGTTTATATTCTTTTTTATCTTCTGATTTTTTGAATTTTTTGGATTTCTAATAATCGGATCTCTTGAGTTTCTTAGGTTTTTTTTGAATTTATTCGGCTTTTTGGATTTTTTGGATTGTTTGGATATTTTAGAAGTTTTTTTTTCGGATGTTTTTGGATTTATTGCATTTTTTCAAATTTTTGGATAATTTATATCTTTTGCTTTTTTTCTATTTTCTGATTATTTGCAGTTTTTTGTATTTATGGGATATTTTGTTTTTTTTTTTGGATTTTTTCGCTTTTGTGATTTTTTGGATTTTTGAATTACTCTTATTAGATTTTTTGAGTTTCTTGGGTTTTTGGATTTTTTAGATTATTTAGATTTTTTGGATTTTTTGATATTTTTTATTTTTATTTTCTGATTTTGAATTTTGTGGATTTCGAATAAACGAATCTCTTGAGTTTTTTCGGTTTTTTCTGGATTTCGTAGGTTTTTTTGATTTTTTAGATTTTTAGGATGTGTTCAATTTTTCGGATTATTGAATTCTTATTAGATTTCTTGAGTTTCGGGGTTTTTTGTTTTTTTTTTTGGATTATTTACTTGTTTGGATTTTTTGATAATTTATATTCTTTTTTATCTTCTGATTTTTTGGATTTCGAATAATCGGATCTCTTGAGTTTCTTAGGTTTTTTTGGATTTCTTCGGCTTTTTGGATTTTTTGGATTGTTTGGATATTTTAGATTGTTTTTTTTTCGGATTTTTTTGGATTGATTGAATTTTTTCAAATTTTTGGATAATTTTTATTTTTTGTTTTTTTTTTCTATTTTCTGATTATTTGCAGTTTTTTGGATTTATGGGATAATTTCGTTTCTTTTTTTTGGATTTTTTCGATTTTGTGATTTTTTTAGATTTTTTGAGTTTCTTGGGTTTTTGGATTTTTTTAGATTATTTAGATTTTTTTTGGATTTTTTGATATTTTTTATTTGTATTTTCTGATTTTGAATTTTCTGGATTTCGAATAAACGAATCTCTTGAGTTTCTTCGGTTTTTTTTGGATTTCGTGGGTTTTTTTGATTTTTTAGATTTTTAGGATATGTTCAATTTTCGGATTATTGAATTCTTATTAGATTTCTTGAGTTTCGTGTTTTTTTGTTTTATTTTTGATTACTTACTTTTTTGGATTTTTTGATAATTTATATTCTTTTTTATCTTCTGACTTTTTGAATTTTTTGGATTTGAATAATCGGATCTCTTGAGTTTCTTAGGTTTTTTTTGGATTTCTTCGGCTTTTTGGATTTTTTAGATTGTTTGGATATTTTAGATTGTTTTTTTCGGATGTTTTTGGATTTGTTGAATTTTTGCAAATTTTTGGATAATTTTTATTTTATATATTTTTTTCTATTTTCTGATTATTTGCAGTTTTTTTTGATTTATTGGATATTTCCGTTTTTTTTTTGATTTTTTCGATTTTGTGACTTTTTGGATTTTTTAATTACTCTTATTAGATTTTTTGAGTTTATTGGGTTTTTGGATTTTTTTTATTTAGATTTTTTTGGATATTTTGATAATTTTAATTTTTTGATGTTATAAATTTTTTGTGTTTCGAATTATCGGATCCCTTGAGTTCCTTGAGTTTTTGAATTACTTCGGTTTTTTGGATTGTTTGGATTTTTTAGATTGTTTCCTTTTGGATTTATTGATTTTTTCAAATTTTTGGATAATTTTTAATTTGTTTTTTTCTATTTTCTGATTATTTGCAGTTTTTTGGATTTATGGGATATTTTTGTTTTTTTTTTGATTTTTTCGATTTTGTGATTTTTTTGGATTTTTGAATTACTTTTATTAGATTTTTTGAGTTTCTTGGGTTTTTGGATTTTTTTAGATTATTTATATTTTTTTGGATTTTTGATAATTTTAATTTCCTGATTTTTTAAATTTTTTGTATTTCGAATTATCGGATCCATTGAGTTCTTTGGGTTTTGGGATTTTTTGGATTGTTTGGATTTTTTAGATTGTTTCCTTTTGGTTTTATTAAGAATTTTTTTAAATTTTTTTGGATATTTTTTTTTTGTTTTGTTTTTTTGTTTTCAAATTATTTCGAATTTTTTGGATTTGTGGGATATTTTCGGTTTTTTGGATTTTTGGAATTGTTGGACTTCTTAAGTGTTTTGAATTTCTGGGGTTCTTTGGTTTTTTTTCGACTTTATGATTTTTTTGCAATTTTGGACTTTTTAGATTTTTTGAATGTTAAATTTTTTATATTTTTGAATTATTAGATTTCTTGAGTTTCTTGGGTTTTTTTGGATTTTTTGATAATTTATATTTTTTGATTTTCTGATTTCTTGAATTTTTTGGATTTCGAATTATCGGATCTCTCGAGTTTCATGGGCTTTTTTGGTTTTTGAGATTGTTTTATTTAGGGTTCTTTTGGATTTACTGAATTTTTTCAATTTTTTGGATAATTTTTATTTTTTTGTTTTTTGTCCATTTTCCGATTATTTGAAGTTTTTTTGGATTTGTAGGATATTTTCGGTTTTTTGGATTTTTGGAATTGTTCGATTTTTTAAGTGTTTTGAATTTCTGGGGTTTCTTGTTCTTTTTTAATTTTTTAGATTTTGTAATTTTTTTAATTTTAGATTTTTTGGATATGCTCAATTTTTTGGATTTTTGAATTATTAGATTTCTTGAATTTTTTGGGTTTTTGGATTTTTTAGATTTTTCGATAATTTTTACTTTTATTTTCTGATTTTTTAAATTTTTTACATTTCGAATAATCGAATTTCTCGAGTTTCTTGGGTTTTTTGGATTTTTTGGATTGTTCGGATTTTTTAGATTGTTTTCTTTTGGAGTTTTTTTGGAGTTATCGCATTTTTAAATTTTTTGGATAATTTTTATTTTTTGTTTTTTTTTCTTATTTGGAGTTTTTTTTGGGTTTGTGGGATATTTTCGGTTTTTTGTATCTTTGAAATTGTTGGATTTGCTGAGTGTTTTGTATTTGTGGGGTTTCTTCTTGGCTTTTTTAAATTTTTTCGACTTTATGTTCTGTAATTTTGGATTTTTTAGATTTTGAAAATGTTGAATTTTTCGGATTTTTGAATCATTAGATTTCTTGAGGCTCCTGGATTTTTTGGATTCTTTTGGATTTATTGAATTTTTAATTTTTTTTGATACTTTTTATTTTTTGTTTTTTTCTATATTCTGATGATTTGGAGATTTTTTGGATTTGTGGAATATTTTCGTTTTTTTTTATTTTTGGAATTGTTGAATTTCTAGTGTTTTGAATTTCTGGCCTTTCTTGGATTTTCAGTTTTTTTTTGTATTTTTTTAGATTCTTTGATTTTTTGGAGTATTTTGGATTTTTAGTAGTTTTTTTAATTTTATTTGAATTTCGAATTATTGGATTTCTTGAGTCGATTTATCCGATTTTTTGGATTTCCTCAGTTTTTGAATTTTTTGATTGTTTAGATTTTTTCGATTTTTGGATAATTTTTATTTTTTTATCTTCTAATTTTTTCGGATTTTTTGGGATATGGTCAATTTTTTTGGATGTCTGTAATTATTGGATTTCTTGTGTTTTTTTGACGTTCTGGAGTTTCTTGGAGTTTGTAGATTTATTGAATTTTTTTGGACGTTTTGAATTTTTTAATTTCGCTTGATTTTTGGCCTTTTTTTATTTTGTGGGTTTTTAATTTTTTGGATTTTTGGAATTATTGGATTTCTTCAGTTTCTTGGGTTTTTGGATGACTTTTTGGAATTTTTGGACTTCTTGGAATTAGCGCGGTTGCCGTATCTCTACAACTAGCAATACACTAAGTAATCATTTCCGGTCAAATACGTTACAATTGCAACTATTCTTAACACCCAAGGGTATTATTTGGTCAAAAACGAACGTCAGATCCACGCCATTATTGATCAATAAGAATACAGTAAGACATAAAATTTAATATATCATTGTTAATAAAATCTAAACAAATTCAAAGTGTGAAAAGACTAATACGACATGTCAAATATTATAAACTTTTAAAGAATTCAGTGCTTTAAACTAAACTGACAACAGCGATCTTAATCTATAGGTATAGAGTGTCCCAACGGTCTCTTTTGTAATAGAATAATGTAATAGAATTTATTGTATCTACAATTCACCCATATTTTAAAAAATATAGACTGTTCCATTACATACCAAAGATGTATTTTTCAGATGGAATATTCTGTAAGTACATTGTTATAGATTTAGGTGTTTTACGAGAAAAGTAACACCAAAGGTGTCCGATGCAAGTTTTATTGTTGTCAACAGTTTTCAGGACTATTTGCATTTTTATTAAAAAATAAAAAAAAACAATTGCAATAATTTTTTCTCGATTTCAGCAAAGACATCAACTTCGATACCCACTACTACCAAAAATCCAAATACTACGACGACGGTCAAACCAACTCCACCACCAACCAACGCTACAACTACTGAAAAGCCAACTCCTACAACAACTAACGCAACAACGACAACAAACAAACCTACTCCAGTACCTCCCGTGACAACAACAAAGGATACACCAACAAAGTCGCCGGTAACGACTACGGTGGCACCAACTCCGGCCAATAACCGGAAGTTCGACGGTCCGAGTTTCGTTGGAGGGATCGTGCTTGCGTCAGGTCTCATGGCCATCGGTTTCGTTGCTTTCAAATTCTACAAAGCACGCACAGAGCTTAACTATCATACTCTATAACATGTTTTGATTTTTAGAGTTTTGTGAAGGTTTTCGAAAAAAATGAAAAAAAGTAAGATTATTTCAATTGATATTCGAATTCGAAAGAATCTCTTTAGTTTTGTTTAATTAAACTGATTTATGATGTTGGTGCGTGTTTTTTTTTTGTTTAGATATATTTTAATCGAAACGGATTATTTTGAGAAGTTAATGTGTTATTTTATTATTTTGTAGTTTTTTCGTATGTTGTTGTTTCCGTGGAACCAAGTGTAATAGTGCAACTCAAATTTTAATTCTGTCCGATAAAAGTGCTCTTAATAGAGTAGTTTAATTACTCAATTGAATTAATGAGGGTGCGCTAGTCGTAAGGTCTAGTTATATATATTTCAAGATGTGTATATTTTTTCGATTTGTTAGGGGCGCCGCCGTGATATTGTTTAAGTAAGTGAAAGTGATATTTTTGCAAAGGCTGTGCCCCAGTAGGTGTATGTTAACTAGAATAGGTTTTTGCAATCTCATCCACAGTGTTTTGATTTGGTGCACTTATTTTTAAATACCAGCCTTCTCGTCTTGTATATTCGAATTAATTGTCAAGCTTTTCTCAAATAAAGTTTGTTTACGTATTTCGTTTATTAATATTAAACAAGTATACATAGCTCTAAGAAGGTACACCTTTGAAGACATAGCTAAGTCTAAGTAAACAGCAAGTAGTAATCTGAGTCATAACTCAAGTTATTATGTGTGCCGGCAAATTTTTATATGAACAAAACGCAAATATTATATCAGGAGTTCAAATTGTAGATCACGGTGACGGGATCGATGACTTTGATCAAGGCGATCGAGTTTACATAAGTTTTCAACGTTACGATGTGTTGTCGAGATTCACGAGCCACAACACATGCATACATATTAAGGTAAAAGTGTCTGCATCTACATCTCTGTATAGATGTGACATTATGTAATAAGATCTGAAATTTGTACTACCGAAGTTCTGATTACGATTGCTGAAGGAAATGAACGAATCTATGAACTAATGAAGAAATGAAACAACTGAGAGAAGAAAATAGAGGAGTAAAAAAAGAATTACAGACAATAAATGGAATACTGGAAAGAGAAAGAGAAGAATGGAAAGAAAAGGAGAGAAGCTTGGAAGAAAGAACCAATAATTTAGAGAAGAAGTTAGAAAAAAAAGAGAGGCAAGAAAGAAGAAACAATTTCATAATTACGGGTATGGAAATAAGGGAAAAAACAGATGCAAAAGAAGTAGAGGAATTTTTGAAAAAAGAAATTGAGGTAGAAGTAAAAGTGTTGGAAACAATAATTATAGGGAAAGAGGAAAGCAAGAAAATACTGCTTAAGACGCTTTGGGAGGAAAAACAAGAGGTGATGAAGAATAAAAATAAACTGAGAGGAAAGAGAATATATATTGATAATAAATGGACAGTCAAGTGCAAAAAATTCAAAAAGGAATTAGGGAGGTAGCTAAAGAGGAAAGAAAAAAAGGATACACAACAAGGGTGGGATATAAGAAGCTGGAAGTAGGGGACAAAATGTATACATGGAATGAAAATAAAAGGAAAATTGGAAGAAAAATTTCTCAAATGAAGTCAGCACTAACCGAAGAAAGAAACACAAAGGGGAGGGGTAGTAATGATAGGACAAATAAAGACTTTAGGTTTAAGAATGTAGATTTTGTACATAATAGGGGAATGGGAAAGAAGAATGGGGAAGATAAGCGTGGTTTAAAATTACTCTTTTGGAATTTTGCGGGTTTGAAAAAGAAAGATAATGTATTTTGGGACTACGTGAAAAATTTTGATTTAGTGGGACTAACAGAAACATGGATACTAGAGAGAGACTGGAACAAACTGAAAGACGTGTTGCCAAAGGAAATTGAGTGGAAATTGCAAGGGGCAAAAAAAGAAAAACGCAAGGGTAGAGCAAAAGGTGGAATCATAACAAGAGTGAAGAAAGATATAAAAGAAATAGAAGAGGGGTTGAAAGAAAACTGACTGTAAATAAAAAAGATGGAGAATCTGCACAATATATAGTAGAGGAATGAGAAACACGAAACAAGAAATACAAGAAAAAATCGAAGAGTCCGAAGAAGAATTTCTACTGTTAGGAGGGGACTTTAATGCCAGAATAGGGAACAAAAGCAGGGAAGAAGACGGGGAAAACACACGAAAATCGAAAGATAAAGTAGAAAACAAAGACGGTAAATTGCTATGGGAATTAATTGAAGAAAGAGGTTGGGAAGTCTTTCATGGGGTGAAGGAAGGGGACGAGGAGGGGGAATTTACCTGGATAGGTAAAAGAGGAGAATCGGTAATAGATTACGTAATAGTAAACGGATTAGCAGAAGAAGAGGTAGAAACATTCAAGATAGGAGAAAGATCACATGCCACTAGAAGTAAAAGTGAGGGGCATAAGTAGAGGGAGCGGATGCTTAAGGAATAAAGTAGGAAAAGAGAAGAAGATATGGGTATGGAATGAAAAAGGAATTGAGCATTGTAAAAAAAAAATGTTGGAAGTGGAATTTAAAGAAAAAGGAACTGAAAATAAAATGGAAAAATTAAAAAAAGAAATTGAAAAAGCAGCCATAAGAAAGAAATTGTAACGAGAAAGTTAGAAAAGAGAAACAGATGGTGAGATAGCAGATGCAGAGATTTAAAAACAGAAGCAAGGAAATATTTACGAAGGTGGAAAAAGGGGAAAGGTATAAAAGAAGAGATGGTGTTTAGAAAAAAAGGGAGCAAAGGGGAGGAAAAAGCGTGGCGTTGGGAAGATCGAATCATAGACACAGTAAAGGAGTTTAAATATTTATAGTAATAATATTTAGGAAAAAAAAAGAGTTATTTGGTTTATAAAATGTATCTATTTGGTTTTTGTTAATTAGGAAAAAAAAATGTAGGTTGTAAATCAAGAATCGTTTAAGCCCGTAAAACACTTACTACTACTCACAGCTCCCTCTAGCGCACCCACGCATCACGCATCCCCCCGGGCAGTACCATTTACCCTCAGGCACTACCTGCATTCACCCCAAGGCAGCGCTGTCAGCTAACGCCCTCACATCACTTTCGCCCGGCTACCCAATAAAGAAGCCCTTTGAATGATCTGAAAACAACAAGAAGTACATGCTAGAGCAACTTATAAGCTCGATAGCATTTTGTTCATTTCAGCATCGCCTTGCATCCTAGGGGTCTTGGTGGTCGGGAGTGAACAGCTTCTTGGACGAGTTAAGCATCCAGTGGCGCATCCAGAGGGAGGACCCACCGGGTCTACGAGTCGGAGTGCAAAGACTTTTCGTGTTTTAAGGACTATTTTCGTGTGCAAAGGCTTTTCTTCTCACAAGGACAAAATGTAAGAATTTGTCACCTCAGCCACCATCTTTGGCAGAGTTGAGGGGATCAGCGACGAAGACTCCCTGGAAGGTCTTCCCCCCTACTCACGGGAACGGCCCACACCTGGTGGAAAGGCGTCAAATTCCAAATTAGAACATGGAATGAAGCCATGAAACGAGTTCAGGCTTTCGCTCCACGGAAAGCCGCCTACAAGATCTACCTAGAGATATTCGAAAACAAACAGGTTGCAGATATGCCAAAGGATCTTTTTATCACAAAAAAAAGGAGTCTGCTCTCACAAATCGAGCAGCCCCTCGAAGAAGCTGTACAGTTGGACATGGTGTTTGGCCTACTACGCGCCGAAATCCGTGAGAAAATGTCCCGCAACATTATCACTACGTTTGAAGAACTCTTGATCGGTGCCCGCAAGGTCGAAGATGACCTTGCTGAAAAAATTCATGCTGCTCCTGCACCACCTAGTGGACCGAAGAAACTGCGCTGTGAATTTTGCCGTACAGCATGGCCGAATGTAGGAAGAAAAAAAGAAGCTGCCGGCCCCAGGTCGTCCCTGTCAAAAGGACGACTCCTGCAGCCACCGCTTCATGGACACTCCGATGCTACGGCTGCCAAAGGCCAGGGTTCATGCACTACCTGCAATCCAAGCACCAGTGCTGACCGCCCAGTAGGTAGGATTCTGCAGCTTAAACCTAACCACCCACGCCACGGCCGCGCCCTGAAGTGGCCATCTGCGCAAAAGGAATATGGGGAACAGCGTTCCCTGACTTCGGGTCGCGAGTCAGCGTCGCCATTCCAGGACTCAGGGATCATCTCCGCGCTTCCAGTGCAACCTTTATTAAAATTCCACTAACCATCGTGCTGGCCGACGGTCATCCGCAGCAACAGGAGGTCCTAACGACAAAAATAAACATCCAGCTGCAAAACAAAACCGTCTCAACCCAGTTGGTGTGTTTGGCTATTGCTCCGGATGTGTGAACTCTTCTGGGCATTGACTTTATCGAGGATGCCGCCGTGGTAATCCACTTCGCCGCCCGCCAATGGCATTTTTTCGAGAGACCGGAACAAAGCTTCCAGTTCGTCCAAAAATTATTTTCGTGTGCAAAGACTTTTCTTGTGTTTAAGGATTATTTTGGGTGCAACGACTATATTAACTTGTTAACCCCCTGAGATATTGTATATTCGTTGTTAATATAAGAGTCTAGGCTCACTGAAACAGCTACAAAGTTAAATTTATTTGTTATATTTTCTAATAGATATTAATAAATGTTGAGTGTGGTGGACAGGAAATTTCGTCTTTAAATTAACCTTATTATAACGCAAAGTCGCCTTTTTGTAAAGCGACCTCTTATTGCAAGTACCAAAAAGTGCATATTCTAGAGTCTTCCCCAAATAACTTAGCTATTAGAATCATGTACTACTTTGCTTTCCAAATTCACACTCTTGATCTCTTGTCTAGACTTTCTTCCAAGACTTAAGTTAACACATTCCTTTGCCAAATATGAGCAGAAATTACGATTCTTTGTTCTGATGCCATACATGGGCATAAAATTATGACCTACCAATCAAATTATTTAACAGTTGACGTGAATGATGCATTCTTTACTCAAATATAGACATAATGCATTCAGCACCAATGAAAATACTTCTATGCCAACTAAAATCTAGGATGACCTGGGTTCAGGGAGACATCGGCATTCAAGTTTATCTAGTCTCATTGTTTTTTTTTTTATCCTAATAACGCAAGAATGTGGCATACTTGTCCCCCAACTCGTTAGCACGGTCTTAAACTCCTATAAATAGCAAACCGCATTAGAATTGTGTTAGTTGAATATCGTTTATCAGCCGTTTGGTTGGTCCATTGAGAGCTCAATTCGGCTCAAGAGTTTCCACCACCGTCCTTATGTGGCCGAAGAACCGCTTCCTCGATCTTCAACTCTCGATCAGATGACGCTTATCGCGTAAGTTACCACTGGGCTAGTTACTCGTAACAATACTAATCCATATTATTCTGCTCTCGTACTGCATTGACCCAACAATTTGTATGAGATTCACAAAGCACCCTATTAGGTTCTCCTATTCGCTTGTATTCGGGCCATTTGTGCCGTACTGGGAGAGTCTGTCCTATAGAGCCCTGCCTACGATTCCACTTCATCTACGCGGTTAATTCAGTGATCGGGTATTCCTCTACCCTGAAGGTCTCATTTATATACAGGGTTTCTATAAATTATTATATCTCAAGTCGTCTCAAATCATCAACAATATCCTCAGATGAAGTCTTCCACGAGATTTCTCTTTGTTGATACCGCCATTTCGAACAAATCTTTTGATTACATCTCGAATGTGAGCCTTTAACGATGTTTCTTGGATTATTAAACCACGGTATTTGGCCAGATATTCTTGCTTACAAGCGGTTACAGAATGCACTAACTCTTCATTTACGAAGTTCCATTGCGATAACAAGACATAACGATGAAAGTGTCTTGTTCAACAGAATAAACCATTTTCACAGTCTTCGCTTCCTCGCACAAAAGCAAAATTTTCGTACGCAACCACCAAGAGTTTTGAAAATTACTGTTTTGTTGTTTTGAGCTTGGATCAACGAGAATTATTGTAATTCGCATTTGAAAAATGTGACAAGTGAGAACTGTCATAATGATGCATAATCACGGACACGGTGGTATAATAATAATAATAATAATAATAATAATTTATTGTACTCAACAGAGATTAATCTCCAATTACAGAATACAAAACAAAAGTAAATAGTAGTCTATCTTACAAATAAATAATTAAATACAACGTATGCCTGCAAAATATATCTAAACATCAAGAAAAAAAAAATAGAACAGTAAGGATAGCTCATTATAAAAAAGAGTAGAACAAAATTCTGACACTCTGTAATTATGTGTTATGCTGTAAATGTATGGATTTCGATTGAAAAAACTTCCTTACCGCTACACCCTTGGGCCAAAAAGATGCAGCCAGAATATCATTTTGATATACAAAATCGATAGTAAGTTTGAAAGAACTATATAACTCAGGAAATTTAGAGTCCAATTTAATAAGCTTAAAGTCAGGAAGACGTTTATTTTTCAGCACTTCTTCATGGGATTTTAACTTAAATTTGATATAGTCAGTAATCTTGTTCACATCAACATTAGGGTTTACTCTTGTAATATGTATATGACTGCTTTTTTTTCTGGTGACAGCTACGAAATCATGATCACTCGATGACAAATCTGACGAACCTGAACTAGAAGCTATATCTGCTGAGCCAATAATTAACTTACTTACTTTCGGCCGACGTTTTAAAGTAACACCTGTTACCTCCTTCTCAGAAGGATTTTTACCATTGTCTGAAGAATTATTTAGATCAACTTCATTACATGAATTCGTATTAGGATAAATAATAGTGTTCCGTATTTCAGGTTCACTTTTGTTTACCACTTTTCTTGCTTCCACACCACTCACGTTTTTATTCATAGTCTTACTCGAAAAAGCGTCCATTGATGATAAACTACAATCAGTGGAGCCTCCCAAGTTGTTCGAACTTTTTATCAAAATGTCTATCATCTCACTTTGCGTTTTTACACGATCCCTTAGCTCCTTTATAATTTCATCTTTTTGTTTAATAATATAATTGAAAACAGCAATATCAACCTTTTTCTCAGGACCACTCATTTGTTCCATTGCTTCAAAAAACTCAGAATCTTCGCACACAACAGGAGGCATTTTCACTTTATCACAGCAAACTAAAGACTTACTGTCCAAAATTTTTACATAAGATACACCCTTGGCACAACTAAGGTGGTACACATTATCACACGATATACATTTTAATGCACTGACAACTTTTGATTTACATTTTCTGCAGATTTGTGCAGACGTACCGGACTGACTACTACTATTGGCATCCATCTTGGCAAATGGTATAAGTAAGGTGTTTCAACTCCATTCATAAATTTTCATAAAACGGGCGCTTAAAAACTGGTATCGTAGTAGGTTGTGGGAGCTTAAGATGACCGCCACCATGTGGTAGTTAATTGTACTATTTGCACTATCGACTGACGTTTGACATGACATTTGACGTATATTTCCCCTCATCTTTCAAAAAGATGTCACAAAACCTAACCTATAAAGCTGACATTTGTGACAACTTGCATTCAAGGACATTTTTACGCAAATTTCATTCATTGTTGTGGACAGTTTCATCATAGTATCCAGTAGACGGCGCTAGGAACTTTAAGCTCCCGTGGCCTTCTGGGATCTCTTTGAAAAAAGACCATTTTAAACTCGGAGTTCGCAGACCTGTTATACAGGGTGCCGCATCCAAGTCTGGATATAGGGAATTAACATGGGAATTGGTTTTTATTTTATAATATCTCCCCAGATCACTTTAAAGCTATTATTGAGTGATGCCTTTGTGGAGGTCGAAGAGGGCTATCGGCCAGTATTTTTTTCAAATCGTTGCATCGCGCTCATTCACTGTAAAAAGGTTTTAAAAATCGTATTTTGAAATTCGCGCCCGATCCGATTTGTCGCGAAGTGCTCCGTCCCACTGTCGAAGTTCGGCGATCGCGTGTTTGAATTAATCATGCAAAATCCAAACGTCAAAGTGAAATTAGAAATTATTCTCAGAAATCAACGAACTCAAGCTGAATTATTTTATCCAGTGTGATGATTATTGTAAGTCAATTTAAACGGAATAAATGCACAAACTGAACAAAATAATTTATTAGGTTATGCTATATTCTACTGCGATTAGATGAAAAAGCGAGGGCCTGCTTGTTCTTCAACGGTTAATTTAATTAGTAGGTAATTTGGGTAAATTTCACACTTTTTTTACGAATCACTAAAGATTGGAAGTCAATTGATTTTACATTCGTTAAGCAGGGATGGAATTTTGCCACCTGGAAGCATGTTCGTTACAAGAAATTTTTGAGAGAGAAATGTAGAACATTGATTCATCAACATTTTAAAGTATTTTTCTCTATTACGAATGTGTTTTGGGATTCAGAAACTTTTGTATTACTGTTCTATTTGTTTATTTTGTTAACAACAACAAAAATAAAAATAATATTTCACAAAGCAAAGTTACATTTATTTTCAAAGGTTATAAAAAGTAAATAAAATCAGGTGGGCACAACGTTTTCTAGGGATCTTAGAGAGATGGGATAGAAGTTTCAAAAAGCATCATGACAAAAAATTGAAGCCTGAGGACTACTTCTCACGTATGGAGTTTTACGAAGAAACGCTTGAGAGAATCTAGGCTGATGGAGAGTTTTTCAGGAACATTTGTTTTACTGACGAATGTTCATTAGGTCTTTAGGGAAGTTATAATCGTCAGAACGATCAAATTTAAGCATTACACAACTCTCGTGGTCCATGAGTATCGTTATCAATGGCGTACAACTGTCAGTGTATGACTGGGGCTTCTAGGATATCATGTCATTGCACTTTTTTTCATCGAATCCCGAATGAATGCTCAGAAGTAGGACAATATGCTAGCTCAGCAAATACTTCCTGAGACTCGAAGGGTGCGGCATCTGCAGCAGGTCTTTTACATCCAGGACCAAATCTCCAGCCATAGAGCTCTCATAAATGTTGTCTATTTGAACCAGTATTTTCCCGCAATGTTGGAATGAAAAATTTGCACCGCCCCATTGGCCTGTGCATTCGCCGGATCTAAATTTTTTCTTTGGAGATTTTTTCACGACCATCTGTATTCAAACAATACCAGCTATACAAACAGAGAACGCTGAAACAAGCAGTCCAGCAATATTGTCTTCAGATTGCAACTCAAATGCTGATCGACACGCGTAGGAGTTTTGAAGATCGGGTTACTTACTGTACAGCTGCTGAGAGCAGTCTTTTTGAGCAATTCTTCAAAATAGTGCAATACTTCTCCAGATTCGTACAATATTTCATTACTTCATTCATCAACAATTGTTAAGTTTTGTTCTTTGTAGTTATCTAAATGCTTCATTAAAAGGTTCTCTTCAAAAGCGCCAGCTGTTTTGATGGTAAATCTTATCATCACACAATAAGAAAAGCGGGCCCTCGCATTTTCATCTAATCGCAGTAGACCATGGCATTTTAATGAGATTTTAGTAATAAAGACTCGACCAGCACCAGCAGCATAACCTAATAAAATATTTTGTGCAGTTTGTGCATCTATTCCGTTTAAATGGACCTACAATAATCGTCATATTGGATAAAATAATTCAATTTGAGTCGTTCAGTGATTAACTGAGTGAGGCAGCGCGAGTACATTCCTAGCTTGAGGGCTCCCGGTACATGTCAAAATGCTGCCGATGGGGTTTTGAGGAAGACCAGCTGCTCGAAGTCTTCATCTCGGGCTTTTTGGATACGGTCTGAGTCTGAGTGTAGTTCCGAGATAGCTCGTTTAACGGGGTCGCGCACTATGATGAATGAATGGATCAATTTGTGCATTTATTCCGTTTAATTTGTCCTACAATAATCATCACACTGGATAAAAGAATCCAGTTTGAGTTGTTCGTTGATTTCTGAGAAAAATTTCTAATTTCATTTTGACATTTGGATTTTGTATGGCTACTCCAAATACGCGATCGCCGAACTTCGACAGTGCGACGGAACATTTCGCGACAAATCGGATTGGGCGCGAATTTCAAAATACGATTTTTAAAACCTTTTTACAGTGAATGACCGCGATGCAACGATTTGAAAAAAATACTGGCCGATAGCCCTCTTCGACCTCCACAAAGGCATCACTCAATAATAGCCTTAAAGTGATCTGGGGAGATATCATAAAATAAAAACCAATTCCCATGTTAATTCCCTATATCCAGACTTGGATGCGGCACCCTGTATATGGCCGTGATCACGGACATAGTTTCAGCGAAGTGGGATTTTTGAAATCCATGGCCAACTACGCCCTTAGAATCATTTATAAAAGCCCTGTATTTATCACTAGTTTGTTAGTAGATCACCTATGGAGTGAACCCGCCTCGTTTTTCAAATTACCCTCTTCACCTCCCAAAGCGGTCATTCATAGGTCCGGGACCTAAAGGGCAATTTTTGTGATGACTACTCGTAAAAACTCGGACACTAAATATTGAAATAAACAAATTGTAGAAAAGAAGGCACGGGATAAGAGAAAAAACGATGAGGAGGTGGTAGAAAAATGTATAGGAAAAAAACAATGAAAGCTAAACAGAGGGAAAACGATGCTAGAATACATGAGAAGTTCAGTAGTTAATTTTAAAACAAAGGACAAGTATTTAAAAATACAGTGAGAAAAGGAACATAGAAGTATCACTACAACAAAGAAAAATAGAACAGAGGATTAAAGATAGTTAAAGATAGAAATTAAACAGGGTGAAGGTTTGTAACGGCATAAAAATAGGATACCGTTTTATTAAACATTCCATCATAGTTTACACTTATTATATTTATGCCAGAATCGCAAACCTTTTATGTTGTTCACCATTTGAGGTTACTGTAAACAAAACACGTCATCATCTTTTGGCAACCCTGTCGCCTTGTCATCTGAACTAGGGATTTTTGACTCGAACTGAACAACAGCGCCACCGGAATTGACACCATCTTGTCGAAAATAAACTTAATTCTAATTGGTTCCTAAAAAGGCGGGAAGGCTTCTGCTGATGACGGATCACTTTTTTTAGGCAAAAAAAAATATCTTCATCCGTTAGATTTTTGCTAACCTTCTTGTGTGGTTGTGCGAATTCTGTTCCCGGAATTTTTAGCTTTGAGAGACCTAAAAGTTTAGATTGGTGAAATTGCTTGGAGTAATTGTCGCTAAGGTCTTACTCAAACGACTTATTGTGTCGGATTTTGGAAAAAACCGGAGGAAAAGGTGCTTGCAAAGCACGCAACGTTTATTGGATTTTTTTTTGAACGCCACCACACCCTCAATATCTAGAGCAGCCTCGCCCATCCAGAGGTAAAATGATTAAATATTCTCACAGTTTCAACTTTTCTCGTCGATGAACCAATTTGTGCCCCATTGTCAATTTCCTGGCGAACTTTCTAGAACTTCGTTTTTTTTAGGCTTTTATTATTGGTGTGTACTACTCACCCGGAGTTTTCCACCAAGTTCCCTTCGTTTGGTGCTTCATTGCCTGGACGCTAAAGGAAAATTCAGCAGCTCCTGGAGCCACGATTTTCGGGGTCTTGCTGTGATTGCTCGATTATGACTTAAATCCGGATTCCCGAATCCTTTTTGAGGAGAACCCTTCCATCTAGCTGAAGGTGACGTGGAGGACACCGGAACGATAAGTACCCGGAATACCATCCTACCTACGATCGTGCGAGCGTATATTACGATAATACCATAACATCGTTGTAACAGTTTAATTTTGGCATTTTTTTTTGTGTGCCATTGTCGATTTTATTCACCTTTTTTTTTTGATTTAGGTTTTCTTGTGTAACTTACCTAATTATTGTAGTCCTGCAGTTGGGGCTTCACCTCACTGTGGTATAACTTGTGCACCGGTTGTTATTTTGGGAGCGCTATTTTGTTGGTTGGTTGCGTTATCGCTTATTTCCATATCACGTTACCGATAAGACGCCGTTCGACTCAGCTGATACGCTCTGCGTTTGATATAAGGTACGTTCACGAACATCGGTTGACGATAAAGTGCGCGAAATATAATAACAACTTGGTCTTATTTATTTGTTTATACATTTAGTTGATATTGACTTACGTGTCACTCATTGTGTGACAATCTCACAACGTAACAATTTCACCCTTGTACAACTTTCACTGTTTTTTTGGTCTTCGATAAGCTTTATCGATTTTTGGATCTTCTTGGATTATATTTTAGAAACACTATCTGTCATTATCATCATTTAACTAGACTCTTTTTTTCTGTTTACCGTACAATATAGACTGCAGATATAAATTTGTTCCTTTTTTTTTCCCTCATTGCGGGTTGCTAGCTGCTCTTTTCAAGTTTGGGGAGGCAAAACAGGATTAGACGATTGCGATAGGGGCGTTATAACGAACTCGTGGCGCCCTAATAATTTTTCTCTTTTTTTGAAACCCACCCACACGACTAGCTGGCTGGCCGCCACCTATCGCAACGCCTGTTTAAGCAGTTTGACGTCACAGGTTTAACGTGAAAGAAGACAAATAAATGCCGAAAATTTGACGGAAGAATAACAACAGGGGAAAAAGAAGACATAAAGACGAAATATAGGTAAATAAATGATATCGCTGAAGTCATGTTTCGATTTAGTTCAAACTTGAAATGGAT